AAAAAAATAATACAGGTGTTTTTATGAAGTTTATCTGGCACAGATAAAGCTCATGTTCAGTTTTGTAGTGAAAATAACTTTCATAGTTGAATCAGCTTCTGTATTCCCTAACTTTAATTTTTTTTCTTGTAGGGGATGACAGTGCCATGGACAAGGCCACAAAAGCAATAACCAACAGTGAGATTTTGTCCATTTCTAAGAAAATCACAATGTTGGAAATGAAGGAACTAAATGAAAGACAGAGAGCAGAACATTCACAACGAATGTATGAACATTTGAGGAATACTGTAAAGCAAGTAGAAGAACGTAATTTTGAATTGGAAACAAAATTTGCTGAGGTAAATCTGCTGAGATTTAACAACATAATTTGATACATCTTAAGAGCATATTTTTGAGCTTTTCAAAAAGCATTAATCTATTTTCTATCAGGACTGGCAAATAAACTTATGATGAATAATATAGCTGCAATTTCATATGCACAGGACATTGGTAAAAATATAACTAATTAATTTGTCAGTAGTTCATTTTAAACATTAGTTAGTATCTGTAGAACACATGATGATCATCCTAACAGATAGTTTATATTTTTATCAGCAGACTGCTAGAAATATGTCTGGTTTTGACCTGTTATTTCTTCTGTCTAATTTATGTGATCTCTTTTCTACTGATTTTTCCTTATAATTTACCAATATTCAAAAAAGAAGTTAGAACTTTGTGTCCTTTGTGCAAATAATAGTGTCATGATTCTGTTACAGACTGACCATGTCCCCTGTACCATGCCAAACATTGTCTATAGTACAAGAATAGAAGTCATGTGCCATTGAAGCTGATGATCCTTAGTTTTCCTGTCCTATCAGTCTTAATCTTGTTAGGTTTTTTGGTCCCCACTTTTCGTATTTTATTTTCTTTATATGAATTCATTTTTAATAGCGTGAGACTTTTTTATAATTTCTAGTCTAAATGTATTTTCTAATAAAAATTGTGTTTGCTTTAAAATCCTTTTCTGCACCAACCTGTGTTTCTGTTCCCATGTGTATGCAACACTTCAAACAAAAAGATCTTTAAGCAGACAGAAAACAAAACTGAGTTTTGAACACAACCTCAACACAGCTGAACTGTGTATTATAATGAATGGAAAAGAAAAAATACTTTTGGCACTGCTTTTTCTTTGCTGAGTTTAGAGCAGTTGTGTGCTTAGGATGCCATTTTGTTTGTTTCTGGTTTTGATTTTTTTTTAAGCTCACCAAAATCAATCTTGAGGCACAGAAAGTGGAACAGGAATTAAGAGATGAACTATCAAAAAGTGTAAGTAAGGCAGTAAGTGATGCAGATCGACGACAAATCATGGACCTAGAGAAGCGTGAGATGGAGCTCAAGATTGAAGTGTCAAAGTAAGCGTTGAAGTAACAAATTTTGAATGCAGCATGTTCAGATGCATGCAAAAATTTAGGCTATATTAATCTTACAGAATACACTACTTATGTATCACTACCATAATTTTCAATGCCTGTTTTTTTGGCATTTATATATGCCAAATTTAGTATTGAAAATGAAGCATTTAATTCCTGACTGTAAAGAAAGCAATTTATTTCATTTTAATTTGAAGAAAGAATTAAGTGCTGACTTAGATAGACAAGGGTAAGTGTGCAATTAGATACTTATAGTAGGCCTTTTAAACTAATTAATTGAGGTTTATTTTGTTTCTGTGTCACAACCTCCCTTATATGTGTGAAAATCTCATAAAACTAATTGAAAAGCATTTCTTCCAAAGACTCATAGATACATCAAAGATTAAACTGCAGTAGGAGGAAGGTTTGTCATTTACTTAAAAGAGATTACCTTGCATAAATTGAAAAACTGAGCTTTTTAGATATATTGATATGAACATTTGTCTTTGAGTAATTAATATAATCCTGTTACATTCCTAAACCTACAATGTCTGTGGGGATACTTGCAGTGATTTTTGGCAGTGAAAATAAATTATTAAACTTGGGGAATCAGAGAAAGGAATTGAGAATGAGACTTTTTGAACATTTAGAGGATTTGGATTATATCCTAAAAAGGGAGAGAAACAGAGGGCAGAGATGCTTAGTTCAGGTAAAAAACATGGCATTGTTTGCTGGAGAACGTTACCACTACCAGACTTCTGTATAACTTATAGGAAAATGTCCTGTGAAAAAGTTGAGAGACAATACAAAGAAGAATTTTCCTAATAAGAACTCTGAGTAGTAAATAAGAGTATGCTGAAAAGAATTAAATCCAAATGTTTTGATTGGAGCAAACATGCTAAGTATCTCTTCTAAGCATCATGTAGATGGACTTATAAGGTTATTCAGTGGTTTCAAGTGACGCAATACTCCTTTTCCCTGCAAGGTTAAGAGAACTGTCTGACGTAGCGAAAACACAAGTTGAAGCTCTGGAGGCACGCCAGCAATACAGAGATAAAGAAGTGGAATCTCTTAGAATGCAAATTTTAGATTATCAGGTAAAATTCAACCTTTAATTACACTGCTGTTTGGATATTTTTTTCCTGGAGCGAGAATAAATGAAGTAACTTCGTAAATAATTAGAAAGCTGCAAAAGTATTTCAGAAGGGTCTCTGCAAGCTGGTCCTTGTAGTGGCCACACCCTTTCAAGATTTCTATATTACAATAATTATTCCCTTCTCCATTTATTCAATTTCTAGCTGGATGGCTATTACAGATCCTGAGCTTTTTTCCATGTTGTTTAGGTAATATTTATTCCTGTATGATTAATAGTTCATGGTCAATATTTAAATACCATGTCAGCAAAGTTTAGTCATTTTTTACAAGACAAGAAAGGACTTGAAGATTTGCAGTAGATTTATTATAGTGCTTTGTTATTAGCTGAAACAATTTATCCAACACTTGTGTCAGCTTTTACATTACCATATTTTTTAAGTTTAGGTATAGATTTCTTCCTCAGTTTCTAGTATTTTGGAAAGAGAGAGTTTTTAAGATCAGTATCTGAAAAGGTGTACTTTTAAAATGTGGCTGTAGAAACAGTAGTGGAAAAGTAAAAAGCTGTTAGAAGCTAATTCTTGCTCTTCTCTGTGAAATAAAATACATGCAATATGTAAAATAAAAAATAGTTTGTTTATATTTACATACAAACTATGCTAGCATATTCAAAATGAAAAATAAATTGTTCTATAAATTTTGTTCTTAGGCACAGTCAGATGAAAAAGCACTTATTGCAAAACTGCATCAAGATATCATAGCCCTTCAAGGTAGTGAATCTGTTGCTGTAGGCAAATTGGAAACACTTAAATTGAAACTACAGAAGATGGAGATCCATAATCTACGTTTAGAGCAGAAGCTTGATGAGAGAGATCAAGCCTTATATTTTGCCCGACTCGAAGGAAGAAATAGAGCCAAACATCTGCAACAGACAGTTCAGTCTTTGCGGCGACAGTTTAGTGGTGCTCTGCCTTTAGCACAGCAAGAAAAATTCTCTAAAACAATGATTCAGCTACAGAATGACAAACTGAAGATCCTGGAAGAAGTTCAACATGCCCAGCAGGAGCGTCGAAATGCAGAAAACAGAACATTAGAGCTGGAGTTAAAACTGAAAAGTTTAGAAGAATTAGTAAGTGCATTGAAGGATACAAGAGGAGCTCAAAAGGTTTGTTATTTTACAACTTCGAATAGTTTTGTGTTCATCTGATCTGCATTTAAATTACATTTCAGTTTAGCTTGTTCTCTAAATGTCTGTTTTAATGTAGAACTTAATTATTTCAAAATACATTCTGTTAGAATGTTAAAGCTGTAATTTTTTGTTTTCCATAAAATCAGTGCAGTCAGATTTACTAATTATCTTTTGTGCTCAATTAAGTCACATAGGAGCTAGAGGCTAACTAGGAATGCAGTTACATTAATTTGAATTAAATTATGAATTGAATTTAAATAATGAATTAAATTAAATTAAACAGAGAGTAGCACCCTGAAGTTCTGTTCCATGAGCTGGCATTGAAATCTTTGCTACAAATCCATTTAATTTTAAATAAATCTAGGGACAATAATTTAGGCAGCATGATGAGAAATATTACTATAATCATGTAATTATGCTTATTCGTATCTATTGTAAACAATGTTGCCCTGAAATTTGAATAATGCTTTCTCACTTCCCTTCAAGATCACTGTGTATTGTATAATATGATTATATCTGTTATGACTGAAGTCTGCATGCAAACAATCAATGATTGTAATGCTCTGGGCATGTTTTAGTCTTAAGTCAATTTTCAAATATTTTTCTAAAACATTTTGACATAAATATGTCTGTTATTCTTAGTACATGTGCATTTTAGAATACATACAGTGTTTAATGGTTTTGAAAATCATCTACTCTTTTAGAAAAAACAAACCAAACCTTTTGCATACTTTCTTTTGTTCCGTCTGGACAAGTGCATAGGGCAGGGTATAACTATGTCATTTGAAAATTGTTTGCAAAGCACTTTTGTCAGTGATGGATAAACCTGTTGCCTCTCCAATTGTCTGCTGCACTTATCAGTCATTCCTCTTGCAGTTTCCTACGCTTATCATGCTTGCTTACTCAAGAAAAGTGAAGAAGCTTAAAAAAACAGAATGTTTGTCTTCCTGTTGGTTTGATAAGTACCATACTACCTCAAAGTCATAGTGAAGCTGCATCTAGTTGGCCTGTAATAAATTATAATATAGCATGTTTTATTTATTGCTAGGTAATTGAATGGCATATGAAGATGGAGGAACTCCATCTGCAGGAACTTAAACTCAATCGCGAATTAGTCAAGCAAAAAGAAGAGGTGAAGTATTTGTGTAATATCATTTCTGAATACGAATGTACAATAAATAATCTGGAAGAGGAAATTGTGCAGCAGAACAAGGTATGTATTTCTGCATGCTATTAGAAAAGCAGCATATTCCTTATTTTGCTAAGTGATTTTCCTAATAATTTCTTAACGCAAATGTTTGTATCTTGGTTTTATAATTCTTTTTAATAGCACATTTGAGTATTTTACTTTTTGGTAACTCTTCTGTTGAAGTTGGCTATAAAATTTCTGTTGCCTTCAATAAAAAAACTCCCTTCATCAAACATGTTACAGTTTCATGAGGAAAGGCAAATGGCTTGGGACCAGAGGGAAGTAGAACTGCAGCGCCAATTAGACCTGTATGATCATCAACAAAACGAAATACTTAGCACGGCTTTAAAGGTACATGCACTGAGTTAACTAAAAATAGACTCATAAGCATGTTTTTCAGAGCTGTCAGATTACATGAATATGAATCTTTCTGTGCAGATAGAAGATGCTACAGGCTCAGTTCCAGACCCTGGTTTGCCAATCGCACAACAACTTGAGTTGGCTTTAAGAAAGATTCAGGAGCATATTCGAACAATACTGGAAACTAGGGCAACCTGCAGGTCACTGGAGGAGGTAATTAAATGTATAAATTATCATATAAAGTAACATGTATTTCTATGCCTGTTACTTTTTTTTTATAATAAATATCCTTTTTGAAACATCACTTAGATACATGTAACCCAGAGAAAATGTAAATAATATAATCACACCATGAATAAAATTAAATACTTTTTCCCTTGGAACAAATTATTGAGAATTTTTTAGTGTTTTTATTCTTTCATTTAGTAGGGTAAGATGTTCTTGCTGTACAACATTTCATTGATGACAGCCGTTAAATTTAGCAAGTGTTACCCTAAATTTAACAAGTAGCAAAGTAGCATAGCAAAATACATTTATCTTGGGTTAGTAAATTGCCATTCTGTTGCTGAAGATACATCGTAATAAATCGTTCTAGGGAAATTTGTAAAACACAGGCTTCTTAGTTTGGTAGCACAAAATAAGTTTCTTTAAGTGTCTTGTGCCAAGCAAAAGACAAGGTAATGATAATGTGGGACTTTTTGCACCTAATAGTAATCCTATACAGACAGAAAGCAGTGCAAAGCATTTTGTGGTTATAAGTCCATTTAGACAGATCTTTCTGGTAACATTTCTTAAAAAGTAAGATCTTACAGTGTTTGAATTCTGGAAATGCGACAATTGCCTTTCATTGTAGAAATTAAAAGAAAAGGAAACCGCTCTGTGGAAAGCTGAACAAAATGTTTTATCAAGAGACAAAGTTATAAATGAACTAAGACTTCGATTGCCTGCATCATCAGGAGAGAAAATAATGGCTGAATTAGGCAAAGGAGAAGATGATCCAGAGTACCATCATGCCATTAAAATTGCTCATCAAACCATTGCAAATATGCAAGCAAGATTAAATCAAAAGGAGGAAGTGTTAAAAAGATACCAACATATGCTTGCTAAAGCAAGAGAGGTAGTTAAACTTTTTGCATAAAATTTCTTCCATTTTTAAGTTATTTTAGCTAATTCTCTGTTTTTACATTGCTAGTGAAATCTAAAACAAGTTTCTGAACTCAGATGTAACAGAACACAGAAAATTAGTTCTTTTTTAGGTGGAAAGTTCATGTAGAATTTTTTAGCCTCTTATAATAAGAGAATTGCTTGGTCCAAGAGTTTATGTATGTGATGTCTTTCTAGGAATTAAAGTAGTGTGACAGGAAAAAAACCTAAAATTCTGCTGTGTGAAGTGGTATGTTGTATATTTCTATGGGATTTTTCAGTACTTGCAACAGTAAGTTGCACTGTGTCTGGACTGTATCTGGTACTGAATTTGGAAGATAGAGGAAAGACATACATTTATGGAAAATATGCTTCTTAAAACATATTTTAAATTAAAGCATTTTTAAAAGCATAAACAATGTATCTAAGCATACCTTATATTACTTAAGCATAATTAATATTGGGGTTTTATATATATCCATAAAGCATATTTAAAGCATAAACCTTTTGTCTCAGAGTTACTTCAACACTAAATATCCATCGATTTTAGTGTGTTTGGATCAGGAGCACAGTTCCAAAGCAGACTTCCTCTCATCTTCACTTGGTGTGCTTTGGTTAACATGTGTAGCTATTTCTTCAGTCTCTGGAGTAATATTGAGCAATGAGTGAATAAACAGCTTGAAGACACTGTAATTTCATGACTTTCTGTGATAGTGTACATCCAGTAGAGTTATAGTTTTATTTTGAACTAACAGGAACAAGAGGAAATAGTAAAGAAGCATGAGGAAGACCTAAGAGTTCTACACCAGAAGTTAGATTTGCATGCTGACAACTCCCTTAATAAATTCAAAGAGACTGCTTTGGTGAGTTATGTGTTTTTGTGGATTAGTGAAGTTGTTCCTATGTTTTTTAATTTGTTGGTGAAAAGACCAGTTTTGCAGTCAAAAATAAGTAATAATTCATGACAGGAAAAATAAGTGAGTGATTGATACAGGTATTGTATTGTTCTTGAGAGAATTCATATGAGATGGATTAGAAGTCATCTGTAAGAAACCAAAGTACCTATTTTTCATATCATCCTAACTTATGGAGACTTCTAGGAGAGAGAGTTATATTTTATTTTCTGTTAATCTCATTCAATCTGTAGTTATATGAAACTAACCCATTTCAGTATGAAATTTCTCTCTACACTTTATGATAAGGTGAAACCTGTTTTAACTGGTTATTCTGTGGATCATTAGATGCAAAAAGGTCTTTTCAAACCAGTGTGGCTGATTTCTCTGTGGACTAAGAATCACATCTTGGTAAATAAATGTGTTAGCTATTAATGCTTAGGTATATTTAGGATTGAGTTAAAAATGCATCACTAATGCCTATCTTTAATTTAAAGTTTAAATTGTTTATCACGTGCATTTGTTCTATTTTACAGGAATTAGGGAAAAAGACTTCTTTATCACTTTCCAGCAGCAAGTATTTTCACCGCTTGGAGCAAACTGTAGCCGAACAGGATAATTCTCTTGCTTCACTTGTTGGAAAATTAAAGAAAACATCTTCTGATTTGGAGAAACAAAAACAAATTACTATAACAAAAATCAATGAGTTTGAGACTATCAGAGCCCGGTAAGTTTTTAGACTGTTAATGTAAATCACAACCTGGAGTGGATCAAGCCAGTTATGTATTGCTACAGGACTGGTCTATCAAATTGAACATGTTTTTGCTGTATTTAAGATTTAGCTGAAAAAAAACTAACTGAAAAGCATTAATATAGTTGGTAATTATAAGGTAATTTTAATCTGTAGCCCTTCACTGGATCTAATGCTGAAAAACTGTGGCTTGGAAAAGTGCCTTTTAGTTGTTAGCTTTGTGCCATTCAGTGGAAAAGGAAGTATTCGAGGAGTCTTGGTAAGAAAGTTGTCTTTAAGTTACTGTATTATCTGCTGGCTTGTGTTTTGTTGTTGTTTTTCTATCCCCGATACATCCATTTGGGTTTGCTGCTGACCAAGTGTAAACTCATGAATGGTGTTTAAAAGGAGAAAAGTATGATGCTTTTTTTAACCTCAAAGGGCCAGGAATGGGAATGAACAATGCTCTAATCTCATTTTGCTGACCTTCTTGAGTAATTTTCTTATTAAATGGAGGCCACCTTTGTTGACTCAGTCTTTTTTTGCTGTTTCCAAATCTAAGTGTCATTTGCTTTAATAATAATAAAAAATATAACATAATATGTTATTTATTTGGAATTTGTTAATTATTGCAGTATACCCTATTAATGCTCATTTTTTATTAGGCTTCAGGAAAAGCACACAGTTGATGTGGAACAAATAAAACATGAAGCAAATGAGTTGAGGAATATATTATCTCAGAAGGAGAAGGAATTAGCAAATGTAAAAGCTGAACTAGAGGTCCAAAAAGAAGCAAATACCAGAGCACCCACAGCAACAATGAAAAACCTGGTGGAACAGCTGAAGAGCCAGTTAGCCATAAAAGAGAACCAGCACAAAGTTAGTTAACAAAAATTAATCTCCATACCACTTAAATGTTTACTGTTTCTCAATGCTTAAGAATTCTTTGTATAGTTGAGCAGAGTAGAATATAATTGCATAATATACTATGGTAAAATGTAATTGCCTTTTCTTGTTTTGTAGCAGCACCTTCACTTAAAAAAAATTGAATTAATTATTTTCAGGCTTTGAGTAAAGCACTTCTGGAACTCCGAGCAGAAATGACTGCTAATGCTGAACAGCAAATTATTTCTGCTGCATCACAAAAAGAGGCATATATGAATGTCCAGGAGATTGTTGACAGACAAACAAAGGGGCTTACGGTGAGTACTAGGTAGCATCATTTTATTGTTTTATTGTATTGTTGATAACCCTGATTTGTGGGCTTTGCCGGTTTGTTTATTTTCTTCTAGACACAGATAGAGGAATTGAATAACCAGATTACAAAGCTTACAGACAACCTTAAAATAAGTAAAACCAAGGAAACTTCTTTGTCTGATGAAAGGGATGAGTTGAACCAAGAACTTCAGAGGAAACAAAAAGCATTTGCTAAAATATCGAGGGAAAAAAATGAAATGGAAAAAGAAAATGAAGAACTGAAGAACCGTATTAGGAGACTGAGCAGTAGCATTCAGGTAGAAGTGATTCTTCAAACTGTTTGATGTTGGTCCAGTTTCTATATAGATGTGCTGGTTTTGGGGGAAAAGATTAAGTATTTTTGACAAGCATTGAGACTTACACTTGATTAAAAAATCTATTTTTCCTCATCTACTGGGTTACATGTAAACAATTCGCTTTTGTTGTTGCCTCAGCTAAAGAAATTACTTGCTCCTTGAAATTTGTTTGAAAAAGTCTGAAGAGTTGAATTACCACTTTCAAAGCTTCTTGGAAAAAATGGAATTTTGTTGTCTTCCTTGCTGTCCTTATTTCCCCTTTTAGAAAAAAGTATAGGAGAATCATCTAATTATTTTTTAAGAGTTATACCTGCTGCTGATTATTTGGTTCAGAGTGCAAAGTTATGTTCCAGTTATACTTTAAAGATAATTTTAAAAACGTCATTGAGGTTCTAAACAAATTCTACCAAATTGGAATTAAAATCCTTATTTTTTTACTTAAGAAAAAAATAACTTAGGTTACAATCACTAAACTTGAAGTTTGTAAAAATTTGTAATTTTTCAGAGCAAAGTTGATGAACAAAATCTGATAGATGTGCTTCAGAAAAAAATTAAAAAGTTGGAGAGTGATCTTGAGACAAAGTGTGAAGAAACAGAAAAAAAAGGTGTAAGAGAAGACAAGGTATGTGATATTTATATCATGGCATCATCAGCATCATCAGCCAAGATCGAGGCAGTTCAACTCTCCCTGTTGCTTCTAAAACCAACCAACCAAACTTGACCAGAAGAAAAGCAGTTTCATGGCTCCAACTTCTTCATGTTTCCCATTGTCTTTGTTACTGCTCTTGTTACTTAGTACTGGTAAATTAATGTTTTCCTACCTTTTTTTTTGTAGAATTAAAGCTTTATACAGCTTACACAGCGTATCCAGCCAAACCTGCTATTTAGCTGTGGTAAATCATACATGCCTGGTACGACTTCCTGGTTTAAACTGATAAATGAGGAATATATTTTTCTTAGTTTTCTAACGTGTATGCTTGTTTTACTTTAAGAAAAAAAAAATCAAAAGGATATAGGTAATTTGCTTATGTTCTTCACAGACCCCCAAGGAGGAAATAATTAGATGGGAAGAAGGTAAAAAATGGCAAATCAAAATGGAAGGGCTGCGAAACAAACTAAGGGAAAAGGAAAAAGAGGCAGATGCTTTATCCAAACAGTTGAATACGTTGAAGGAAATTCATACAAAGTGAGTTGGTTTTAATCAGTTCAGCTACAAAATGATGATGTAAGGGAAAGCCCAATATGTTTTCCATGTACTAATTATTGCAGTTTGTTACATTTATAAGATTGCTGGCAAGAATTTGACATTGTTATTGAGATTGAAAGTATTAGTTAATTTTCAAGGAGCAGACTACTTACTCCTCTAATATCATTTCCCTTGTAGAAGGCAACAACCTTTATTAGAAAAAAATGTATCAAAATAAAATTAAGTCCTTTATTATGCTTCCTGTCTTAGCATTCTGTTATTCTCATAAAGCAAATAACAGCTTTAGGAAGACAGGCTGTTTCTCACATGTGTATTATTTAATCAGACTGCTAGGACTGGATACTGTGCTGCCGTTACATGTGAGTGCTACTGCAGTAGTGACCATTCTAGGCTTATGAGATGGAAGCCTTTTAAAAAAAGCAACTACATGTGCAAGCCCTCTGCAGATGTTATATTTACTTCACTACAGTGATAGCAGGGTTTTACTGATAAAAGATGCAGAACAGAAAGGAAACTGTGATAGTAATTGTAGCTGTTGTTAAATGGTAGATTGAAACTGCTTTAAAATAGCATTTATTCTTAGCAAGTCTTGAATGAATTTCACAGTGAACAAAGGCAAAACCAACAAGTGTTTTAGGACATGCATGATACTGACTTGATGTTCATTGTTTTTTTCAGGTTTGGGTTGTGTTTTTTTGGTAAAGCTTTAGTGTCTCTATGGCTACCTTATTGAAAAGAAAAGGGGGTATGGTTCAGTGAGTGAAGAAATTGCAAATGTGGATTCTTTAGGACAGGAAATATTTTCTCCTAAAGAAAGTAAGTTAGCAAATAAATTTTTAAATGTAAGTTTACTGGATGTTTCAGGATTGAAAAAGAGAAAATTGCTCTGCAGAAGAAACTGAAAACTACTGGTGTCACTGTTGACCGTGTTATTGGAGTAAGAGCCTCAGAAACTGAAAAAGAAGTGGAAGAACTAAGAAAACGGAATCTAGAGCTAGAAAATGAAGTTGCACACTTGAGGTGAGAGTCTTTATAAAAGATTGTATAAAAAGCAAAAAATCTAAATTAGTAAAATATCTGTGTAATGAGATGATCTCTAATAGGCCATCTAATTCAGTAAGGAAAAAAAACAGACAGGAATTTAAAAAATTATTCTTTGTCTCTGTGATGAGCAAACTTAAAACTATTTGTGAGCAGTTGTGCATGTTCACAGAATATGCAGCATTGGTTCATTATTCTAAAAAGCTAAATCATATGAAAAACATACGGCTCCTATTGTGTAAAATTACAACTACAGTTTAGAGTTGGTGGAAGTTACTGAAACTGCTAAGTGCACTTAGGGAGTGTATTCCTAATCAGTGTATCCACTATCACAGTGGATAATGTATCTGAGTAGAAGAGGTTGTACATGTATGTATTGTCCATTCACAGATGTTAGTTTAAATAGTTTTTATGGCCAACATTGATATAGAATAACTAGCTCAGTAATACTGGAAAATCCAACCTAGAAATCCAGAAGTTCATGGTGGTTTTACCTTAAGGGATGTTTTTCTGCATTAATTGCTGTTTGTGTGTTTTGGTTTGACTCATTTTTTGATGTAGAACACTGCAAGCAATCCCACGAGATTCTGTTGTAGAAGATTTACATTTCAAAAACCTATACCTCCAGGAAAAGCTTCATGCTTTGCAGAGACAATGCTCGAGAGAGACATTTTCAAGACCCTCAGTAAGTTAATAATATAACCATATTACCTAGAGGAAATGCAGCTACTTATCAAAAATATTTATCTACTTGGTATTCTGTGTCATTTAGGTATTTTTTTTCAAATGACAGTAATCTAGAACACGATACAAAATACTCAGCTCTTAGTGGTTTTAAAAGAACAAAAGAAACCTAAAAAAATCCCCCAACCCCCAAAACTTACAGTTTCAGTGTTCTACAGGATGATGCTGAAATATCCAGTATCCTAGTATATGTGGAGAAAGAAGGAAAATGTATTTTTAAATATACAAGTCTGCAACTGAGAGACTACTTTGATATAACGTATTGATTGAAAATTTAGGATGCACAGAATTTGGGGAAACACTGAGCTGCATTTCAGTTGCATTAGGTGTTTTTGTTGTGCTTTGATTTGTACAAGGTTCATTATATTGCAAGCTTTGCATTATTAAGTTACCTTAATCTTTCAAGAATAGATTTAACAGTACATTCTAGTTTTCTTTATTTCCTGTTTTATTTTATTGTGTTCTGCTTTTCTTTCATGCTTCACTCTATCTTCAACTTGAATCAGAGTACATGTGACCAAACTGAGCTGACCAAGTCTGTTCCTATCACTGTCAGTAAACAACAAAAGTATCTGAATTTCCTTCAAAAGAAATCTATTTCAAATAGGGATGAAATGAAACATCAAGCTAATAATAGTATTACTGATGGCAATGAAATAGATGAGGAAGCACACACACAAACCTGTATCATGCATAATGAAGGCCAGGAGGCTACTGCACATGCAAGCACAGAAGTGTCTCCTGAACAGCAGCCTGAAGATAGTGAGAAATGGAAGGACACAGATATTTCTACAGAAGTATTGGAAAACAAAAATATAGCTGAATATGATAAAGAGAACTGCAGTGAAAAAGAAGAAAATACAACCCAGCCTGAAAGAGCTAAAAATAATGAGGAATGTGAAGAAGAGGAGAGCAAGCAAGAAATCTTCAAACAGTCGAATGTGGGTGAAGAAGAAGGTGTAGAAGAGCCTGATACTGACAGAATGATCTGCAATCAGTCTGACTCAGGGAAACTTTCTACTCAAGCTAATGACTATGAAGCAGACAAAATAAATGGGAATAATGAAATGAATCAACACACTGCAGAGAATAAACAGGAAAATTACCAAAGCTGTACAGAAAAGGTTGAAACAACCTCAGAATTTTGTGAAATGCCCGAGGTTTGATACTGTAGTGTCCCCCTAGCATTTCTTCGGTATAAATGATGAAGAAATAGAATAGAATAGTTTGATCTTGGTAAAGCCATGCTCTCCTATGCATGGTCTGCAGGGATACTGAAGTCTAGTCATCAAGTGATCCATAAAGCAAACCTTGTGTTTTCTTGATAGACATTCATGACAACTCACAAGCAAGCTACTGTCAATACTAAAATTTTGATCCAGAGAGTTTACAAAAAACTCCAATGATACATGCAGATAGCTGATGACCTCCATTCTTTAAGAGATTTATGATATCTTCTTACTTACGCTAAGAAAAAAATATGCTTTATTGAAGCAAATACTTTATTCCTTTTATTACTGGTAAAGTAATGAATCATACAATTAATTCCATAATTACATAAATGAAGAACACTGATTATTATATCATTAAAAGGTTTTACTCTTTACTAGTCAGGCAAAATAATTTACCATATAGTTATAATTTGAATTGGCAATATAGAACATGCAAAGCACTCTTCACATAGTAGAAATTACTAGCCTCCATGGATAAAGACTTAAGATTCCAGGAAATAACAAGCTAAGAACCAGAGTTACATACTTCTGTTCCTGACTTGCTCTGTGATCCATTTGACATAACTGAGATGTCTTATGACATATTTACTAGTTAAAAAACTATCAGAATATCAGAATATATCCTTAAAATTAGATGCTGTACCCAGGAACCATGTCAAACTTACTACACTCAGTGGCTTTTTTTGTCTGTTAGATTTTGAAATTTATTTCTGCCCAATAGTTTGAGAGTTCATTTTCATCTGATGAAATATTTACTGGTTTATACTGATTTGTAAACTTCCCTTAACAGTTAAGCAAGTTTAGGAAATGTAAGAAGTATTAAAGTAAAAGCAGATTAGATCAAAACTGGTAATAATAACATCTTGTTTTATTTCTGTGAAAAATATTAATTATCTGTTGCTTTTAATCAGCTGTAACTGATAGTTGTATTGAATTTGTGCATTACCAGTTAATAATTTTTTTCCCTTCTCTTTTCTCAAGACATCAGGAATAGGGTCAAGTGATCAGTATCGAAGAGAACAAGAAGTTTTAAAGGAAAATCTAAGATTGTCATCTGAAAATGTTGAGCTAAGATTCCAGCTAGAGCAGGCCAATAAAGATTTGCCAAGACTAAAGGTAACATCTTTTTACCTTTAGTCCCCTTTACTCTAACACAGGTTAGGTAATTGCTTCAAAAGAAATGGATATTCTTCTACCCATAGTGTAAGTTTTTCATGTTTTTACAGAAGTTGAGAAGGTTGAATTGCTGGTAGAAATTATAGAAAAGGTCATTGATATGGGAAAGTGCTTTCTCTTAAATTTTTCAAAGTTAATCTATTGAAATACCAGTTGTAATTTTGTTTACCAAATGTTCACCTCAATTTGAGATCTAATTAAATTGCTTATTACTTTTTTTTTTTTTTGGTAGGACCAAGTAGGTGACTTAAAAGAAATGTGTGAACTTCTTAAAAAAGAGAAAGCAGATATTGAACGAAAGCTGGGCAGCGTTAGAGGGGTGAGTACAGTATCAGCATTTTCATCATAATTAAATGAGAATGAAAAGAAAAAGCTCAAAGTTTTATTGAATCTAAATTACTTGCAATCAACCAAAAGTGAATATTAATTGTTCTTGTCTATTTTATTGACAAACTGCTATAATAAATTAATGAATCAAGTTAACAGGACCATTAGAAGGATTACAGCTATACTTAAATTTATGCACTATCATGGCATTATTTTATCATTTGGATTAGTTATCTTCAGAAACATATTTATAAAATAAATTTGAGCTACAGCTGTAATAACAAAAATTATATTAGTGTATTTATGTATATTATTTGACTTGATGTTAGAACATGTAAGTTATTGTTAGGTTTTTGTTTATTATACTACACAAACGATTTTTGTTTGTTTGTTATACTACACAAGATGACAGTTAAATTTTACCCCAGCTACTGTTAACTACTTTAATAGAGCAATATTTCAGAAGTTTAAGGAAAAAAAGTCTTCAGCAGTGCCCAATATGTTTCTTGCCCCTAACTTTTCAGACTATTTGTGTGACCTTTTAAAGAAAGCTGACTTAATAAAAGCTCTTCAGTGCCTTCTTAGCTCTTTTAGTATAAAAGAAGAATGAGTTCTGCTTCTGGGTACCTGGAAAAGATAATTTTCCATACTTCTACTCAAAGCTTGCGTGAACTGCTTGTGTATTTTTTCTGTCTTGTGCAGGGGTAATTTTTGGACAAGGCAGTTCAGTTTATTAAACTGTTGTATGCAAAGGTTCTGAGAAGGCAGCAAATTTTCTTCTTTTCTTTCCTTTTCAGGCACCAAGGTGTGACGGGTTTTTCTTTAACTCTGTTGTGTACCAACACAAACCTCCTAATCCTACCAATTATTTTAAAGAAAAATAAGTAATTTTTACTTCTGAGACTTGTTTGCTATATAGATTTATGTGGAGCTCCAGGGAGTAAAATCTTCCCATTTTACACTGTACTGTGCTCCTTTCTTAGAAAGAAAAGGAGGTACCTCATGAGCCTAGAACTAGAGACAGCATCTTTAAATTATTATTGCTGAGGAAATCACTACAAAGATGATGAAAAAATACATGGCTTTGAAGACTCTTTAACAACTTTTCTAACTCATCAATTAATGTAGTGAAGGAAGAAAAATGGAGAAATTACAAGATTTGCCCTCACACTTGTTTATCATTTTGCAAGACGAATATATGCCTTTGGAAAGGGAGATCTGTGCTTTAAAACGTAGTTCTCCTGTCACTTTAATTCAGCAGAAGTAGGTTTGCTAAAAAACAGCCTTCTTTTCCCCCTTGAGGTCCCAGCCATTCTTCCCCTCCACTCCTCCCAACAGTATTAGCATTTAAACAATTACACAGTCTGTTGGATTGGGGAATTGTTCTATAAGAAAAGCTAAAAGTTAAGTACTTCTTTGATTTATTTTTGTAATGTTTCAGTTTAGTTCATAAAGTACAGCAGATTTTGAGACTTAACTGCAGCTTTCTTGGGTAACAGAAAATGCATGAGCTGCTACGTTGACTTTGGGGGTGAATATATTATTAGACATTTTGAGGAGCTAAGCATGCAAGAAATTCTAGGGTTCAAGTTATACCAAAATAACGCATCATTTTTGTTATGAGTTGCAATGGGATAATAAGCAATAAAGTAAGATTTAGAGTATATTAAGTTAAGATGAACCATTTGTTTTTTTTACTTTATTCCTCTCCCTTTCTATAGGCTGGCAGAAGTGGAAAGACAGTCCCAGAACTGGAAAAAACAATTGGTTTGATGAAAAAGGTTGTAGAGAGACTGCAAAGAGAAAATGAAGAACTGAAGAAAGCACCAGCTGTGGTTTCTAATGAGAAATTACTTGGTCTTCAACAGGAAAATGAGGGACTAAAGGTACTGAATTATCTCCAGTGACTGTATTTAGGTAACAGTTTATATGCAAGTTAGTAAAAAAATGGAGCAGCAAGCCTGTTGTTGATATTGATTGGCACAAGTGTTTTAAAAATATGAAATGTATAGAAGAGAAAAGCAGAACTTAATTTAAGCATAATATACTGAATGATTTAAGGTTGGTTGTGCCTTAAGAATATATTTTAATTATTTGATGGAATGTTTATTGTGCTAGGTAGCTGTAACTATGCTGTGATTTAAAAATTGAAATCTGAAATTTTCTACTAAGCAATGTATATGTGCTTTAACAAAGTGTTTGATATTTAGTCTGAAATGGAAAAAATGAAACGTGATCTGGGTGGCCAGCTGAGTCTGCATTTTGAATCTAAAACCAAAGGAATGGAAAAAGTCATTGCTGAAAATGAGAGACTGCGTAAAGAACTAAAAAAGGTACGGTCATTGTAATGCATCCCTTTATTCCACTGGTTGTGGCAAGTATATAAATACATGCCTTTTTTTCTTTTTTTTTTTTTAGTGGTTGATATAGCACTGATATTGCTATGACAGATTTTTTTCATTATATGTAGAGAGGAGATATCCAAGGACTAGGCCAAGAGAGAATTCAGAAGCTGTAGTGCTAGTAATCTTGGATGCAGTTTTCCTCTAAATCAGCCTATCTCACCATCATTTTAAATGATATTGTGTTTCATGTGAGGTTAAGTATTCTATAAACATTTGCTTTTACTGAACAACAGGAAGCTGACAGTGGAGAGAAGCTACGAATAGCGAAGAATAACTTGGAGACAATAAATGAGAAGTTAACTGTACAGCTGGAGGAAACCATTAAGAAGCTAAATTTGGCTGAGAGCCAACTTGATGGAGCTGACAGCAAAAGCTGGAAGTCCATTGTAACAAGGTAGGAATTAAGAATGTAGTAAGGAAAATAAATACAAGTGTTAAATCCTCTTTAAATATTAACAAACAAATTACACTTTCATAATTTTTCATCCCTCTTTTGAAGATAGTTTTATATTATCCATAATTTATTTTCTGGTTCTATATTAATATATAAAATCAGTATACAGATCTCTGATAGGAATTCAGCAGAGATTTAGTGTCTTTAAATACTGGCCTTGTTAGCTGTTTCCTCTGTATAGAAGCCAGTTATTTATCTCCATTCTTCAGATCAGCTCTGGATCTCTGAATAGTTCAGGTAAAGGAAGTATTTTGTGTTCCCTGCTGCTTAAACGTATTGTACTTTTGCTTTGTGCAGTGTCAGCATTTCTGCTGAACACAGAAAGTATTTCAATAGTTTACTGCATGAACAACAATCTGAAACAAAAAATTGAAGCCAGAAACCTGCATTTTGCAGTTTAGTGGATTTGAATCTACCTTTAACCATATGAATGTGTAGAGGTTGTGTTAGAAAAGCGACTGTGATTTTTATAGTCTTTGGGACATGTAGACACAGCAGAAGATCCTTCCTGTGTAGGATCTTCTGTAGGCCCAGAATTGCAGTCAGCCAGTTGATTCTGCTTTCTGTGGAAGGGAGAAAAACTGAGATCAGCAGTATCTTTTCCAGTATATAAAATGAGGTTTGAGAATCACCATTTCTAGATTTTTAGATAAAACTCAGACTTGGAAATCAGCATCAAACAGAAATTTTGCTTGCTAATACTAGTAAATGTGAACAACTCTTTAGCAATAAGTTATCTGAAAGTTACTTATCACTTGTATCACACAATGTGGAGCAAACTAAAAAACAGTTTTATGATTGTATGCCTAAGTTGTAAAGCAAAATTACTTTTTAATTTATCTTTACTTCCACAATTAGTGGAACTACATGCTTTTTCTGTGACAACCTACTTACATAGGCTGGAGATCTTAACTCTAGAGCCTGGACAACTGTAATTCCATTCATTCTTTTCTAGAAGCAAGCTCTTTTGCTCTGTGGTTTGTGGTTTGCTTACAGATATGATTTTGGCAAATAGTCACTCCAAAACCATGGCCAGTCCAAAAAGTGTTACTCTTAAACCTTTTTCATTAATAAGCTGTGACTAGAAGAAAAATGCTAGTTATACATCACACCAACATGTTTAATAATGAACAGCCTGATACAGGATACATTATATATATCAAGATACATTCACATGAAATATGCTCATGATTCATCAGTGTGGACGAGGAAGGAGAATTCTGCCCTTCTTGAGGCAAGTTTTTAGTTGGATATCATCTCTTGTACTGCTGGACCTCAGAAAAGGACAAAAGAAATGTAACAATGCTTCTGCTATTAAGAGAAATAAGCAGCCTGTGTCCTGCATAACAGAGCAGATTTTTGGTAAAAAATCCTTAGGTCTGGACTCCTGTATGTGAAATAAGATGATGTACTGCAAAAATACTCTTGTAAACAGAAGTGAGGTATCTACAGAAGAAGGTATCTACAAAATCAGACAGTAATCTTATTAGGGCAGAAAATCAGCTGGACAGGAGAGAGACTTGTGTGATTTCATCTTAGGTCAGATCACTGTTGATATCCAAGATTTTACCCACTTGTGTCTTGCACTCCCACAGGATCTCTTGGGTGAGTTCTAGTGCTTCTCTGACATACTGCTGAGCCATTTTGTTTCACTGAGACTTCAGAAAACCATTCCTTTTTTTTTAACTTTTCTGCAATCTATTTAATGAGGTAAAATGTCTCTATGCAAGGTCATATTTAGCATAAGGAAAGTGGGCAAAATTGGCTGCTGACCACAGGCAAAAGACATGAACATGCGTTGAGGATGGTAGGCCTTTAACATCTAGGGTATAGGCTCAATAGTTTATTAATACAGTTATTGTTTTAGTGCTTCACTTCTTTGGAAGAACATTTCTACTTAGTCCTATTTAGTTGATAGAGATAAGTAGCTGTGTATAGACAGCTGTAAAATACATGGCTGTGCTAACTGTTGTTGCCTTTTTCAGGTTGTGAATAAAATCTTTTATGTGCATTTAATTTAACATGAATTTAAAGTAAGTTAAGAACTTTAAGAAATTACTAGTCCAGAGGAGCTGCTTGAGGCACTTTAACATGCAATCCACCTCCCCAGCACATGTTCCAAAGCATGTATGTGGTAACAAAAAGTGTTCAAGAGGGAAAATGGATATCATCCAAGGGACTCTTCAAAAGGCTCTTGGACATGGAGCAAAATGTTTGTTTCTGATAATCACTTCAGATGGGAGACTGGACTACATGATCTCCAGAGGCACTTTCCAACATTTTGGATTCTACACAAACCTTTTTGTAGCCTTGTACAGCTGAAAGCAAAATAGACTCATTCTCAGACTTCTCTTAATACAGGGTAAACTAATTTATTGTAGAACAGTTTTGCCCTTGGAGTCTTCATCTTCTGTATCTGTATTAGCCTTTTTCTTGGTAAATATTTTCCATAAATTATTAAATTATAAGAAAAATACTGTCAAAGGTACAACACTGAAGTAAGACCCAGCCAGGGTACACACTGCATCAGTAACAGGCATCCTTTTAGCAGGAAGTAGTTTGGGGTTTATGTGCAATAGCATGAAAAGATTCCCATCACCCTTTAATAAAACGTAGACACAAAGAAAGGTCCACAGAAGTGTAATATCTGGAAAAGCCTTTATTCTAAGATTAAATATGTATTTTTCATTATGCTTCTTTCAGCACAGTGTATTTATTATTTTCAAGGCCAATGTCCCAAGCATATTTTAGGGTGTATTTTATGGCATTTATTCTCGTAAAGATATTTAAATCTGTTTTTCTATTCTTATCTTTTTCTAAATAAAACTACTACCAGGATGCATGAAACTAAGTTGAAGGAAATGGAAATAGATATTGCTAAAAAAAACCAAAGCATTGCTGACCTTAAACGGCTACTTCAGGAAGCAAGAGAACGTGAACACAATGCTGATAAAAATTTACAAGATCTAAAAGGACAAGTGAGTAAAATTTAGCCAGATGACTCTGAGAATAGAATGCTTACTATTAATTTATGTCTTTCTAATGTCTGTAGTGGCAGAGTAGTTATTTTTTCTCTAATCCTTCCTTTTACAGTTTTTTCATAGTTGCTTCAAATATATTTCCATATTATGGCCAATGAATGATGTTTACCACATATTATTAGTATATATTCTTGACTTGCAGCCTTAGCGGGAAACTGTTTTTCTGCTATATTCTGTAGGCCTCTAGTTTCACTGATCACATGAAAGCCTGTAAGTACAGATACTTCAAATGGGTCTTAAAATCTTTAAAGCTTGTTCTTTAGAATAAGCTTGCTGCAGGGACTTCTCTATTCCTTCCAGGTTTTCGGGAGAGCAGGGTGGGATTGACTTAGGCATCCCAAATGGGATCTTGATTTGTTTCCAACACAGCCTCTTAAAGACATGTAGCCTCTCATAAGTCTTTCAAACACTATTTTATGTGTGGAAGAGTTGATGAATTTTAAAACTCGGGGACCTTTCAAAAGATTACCACATTCTGGCTTTTAAGTACTCCAGAGATGCAGTCCTAGGACTACTCACCTAGGTCAGCTTCCATCTTCTCATTTATTAATATGTACGTGGTTTCTTCTCCACACTGTACAACGGTCTCATACTGGCCATTTTCAGTGTAAGGTATCAAATACAAAACTTACAGTGTGGAAATTCATATATATATATTATGTAATAAAGTAGATTACATAAGTTCAATAAATCGAACTTGGAACTGATTCCTAAAAAAAAAACCATTTTGTTAATTTTTGCTTGTTTTCCCTTTTCTATAATGTCAGTGCTATAAACATGAAGTGTATACCAGCAGCAAAATTAACTCAGAGATTAAAATCTTTCATTATGTGGTACCCAGATCCTCACCATTTTAGGCAGAAACAGAACAAACATTAACAGTAGCCTCAGGAGGGTTCATAAATTGTCACTGCATTCATAAACTGCATATTATCTTCTATTTAGAACACTCATTTTTTTGCTTTGGCATCTTTACCAAAAGGCACTTCTAGAGGCTCGTTCCCTTGTCAGGGACCTATTCTAACTTAATGACTGCAGGTCATATCTAGTCAATGTACACTAATTTGGGTTTTCACCGCAAAATTACAGGCTTTTCATACTATCTTTCAAAAGGAACTTGAACACCTAGGGATGCTAACAAGTACGTTAATAGTATTTTTAAAGCACTTAACGATTTAGAGATATCACTTCCTTAAGCATATGAATAAATTATGCTGCTGTAGCTACGTGTCCAACTTTCTTTGTAAATCTAACTACTGAATACTTTTTTCCTCATCCTTCATGAAGTATGTAGCAATGATCTATGGCTAACTTTGAAAAGGCTGCTGAGAAGTAGCTTCATGGAAACTGTCAGTAGATGAACACTTGGTTTCTCTTTTTTTTTTTTTTGGATAACCTAGTACTTGGTTACATCTTTAGTATTATTTTCATTCCTTTTTTTATCCTGGGTCCAAGAAAACTTTGTCTGAACTGCATTGTTCATGGATACTGTTTTGAAGAGTAAAACTTCCTTAATTTTTCTTTTAAGATTAAGCTTCTCCAATACCTTCCTGAAGGTGCAAGGACAGAGCAAAGTCTCATCAGGGAGCTTCAGCTTTTAAGGTAATGTACTTCTAAATAAATAAATACCTCAGCCAAAATACATGAAATAAGAATGACTAAGAAATGCCTATTGCAAATTTTTAGTTAAAGTCCTAAAATATTTTAATAATTTAAAAAAATTATTCTCAAGTTATTTTATATTCCAGAGTAACTAATAATCGATTAGAGGAAGAAAAAGCAGAACTAGTGCACCAGATGGAGGATTATAAGCACCACAGACACACCTATACAAGTGAAGATCCGGCAGTTGGTAATAATCTTCAATACCTAAAATAAAGATCTTCCTCTATTTGGGGCCTAAAACTGTTTTTACTTAATATGTTTGTGCAAAGTGATAATAAATCTAAAGAACTGATTTAGATTCATGCCAAAACAGTGTAAACTGGAGCAGACTAAGGCCTTGGATTTTTGAGTACATATACAAGCCTTTTGTAGAGAATTCTTATTAAAAATCTCCATAATCAATTATCCTGAGCAAGAAACTGTAACCTTTGTATGATTTTTCCCCTCACAAGATGTGTAGTTGCTTTATTAGCCTCAAAAGACTATTTGTAAGATATCAGTCATTCACTAAAATATTCTTTTGCTTTGGATTCCAAGCTGCTAGAGAATGAGTGCCTATTTCCAGACACTAGCTCTGTGAATAACTTAAGATTTAGCAGGCATCCATCCCATGGGAAAAGCAGAGCACTACAGAGCAGCACATTGCCATATGACTGGAAGAAAAAAAACAGAACAAATGAACCCTCTTGAAATTAAGAATATGCATAACAAGATCCTGTTATTTCCAGACTTTCTGCGCTAAACTCAGAGAAAGTGTACTCATCATATTTCTCAGAAGTGTGCTGACATACTGGTCTACTGGATTACTGCACTCAATCACAGGAACTAGACACCACTGATTTTTACAAGAACTAAGGAAAAGCCCAGATTACTTAAATTTTTGTGATCTCAGCTGGGTTTACACACTTCAACTGCTTCAGTTTTCAGGAGATGCAAAACTACTCAAACAAGATTATTTGGGCCGTGGATATTCCTGACTTTAAATTTTATTAAAAAATCATCATTATTTTTACAGGACATAATGAAATTGTGGAGAAGGATAAAATAGCTGACCTCCAGGCACAGCTGAAAGCCCTAGAGCTGGAAAAACAGCAATTAAAGGTGAGTTGCAAGGATCATCCTAGGCAAGATAATGAGTTAGTGATTAGCTAGAAATTATGGTTATATGGTTATATCTAGCTAATTATGGTTAGCTAGAAAGAGCCATTTAGTATCTAAATTAATATTTAATAACCAAGTCAATTTCAAAACATTGTGTTTACAAAGCCTATTTTGTTTTTAGAGAACGGGCTGTTTTATGGGTAGAGTTTTTTTGTCTCTAGATAACATCCTTATTATCTCATCATTTAACCTCTCAAGACAAAGGCAAAAAAGCTGTTGTGCTGTATTAACAAAGTTCTTGATAAAGGTGGTACTCCTTCATTCTTTTCAATAGGAAGAGACAAAAAACCTGAGAAGAGAATTAGAAAACTATGACCCTTCCTTTTTTGAAGAACTTGAGGATCTGAAATATAACTACAATGAAGAAGTAAAAAAAAATATACTCTTAGAAGAGAAGTTGAAGCAGCTTTCTGAAGAGTTTGGCATTCAAGTGCGTAGTCCAGGCAACACTGCTGTTGATTAGGCTAGTGTTTAGTATTCTCAACATTGATACAAAAAGTAAATTCTATGGCAGTTACATAATGCTCATTTGTATGTGATTATCTTGGAATAATACAAGTATCTTAGTTACATTAGTTTGCACACGCCTAAGAATGCAGAATTGAATTAGTCAACAGCTCATGGTCAGTATTTATATATACCAGTCAAAGTAAAAGTGAGTTTTACCTCTCCCAGCTCTTTTGCAGTATCACATTTTATTTCAGAACAGTTAAATTGGGTAATACACAGGTTTCAGGTAAAGCTGAAACCTTGGGCTTATCCTAGAAGTTGAGAAACTCTTAAAATGTCAGCATATTTAGCTAAATGTGCTAAATTCCAGATTAATAGAAATAGATAATTTGCACTTGCTGTCTCATCTGACCATACTATTTAACTCTAAACTCAGGGTCAGTATGTGGGATGTCTGTTTTTACATCCCTGGTTATTTTTACCTCAATTTAAAAAAAAAAAAAAAACAAGAACACAGAACTGAAAATTAAACTATGGTATTTCAGCCAAACCAATGGTATTTTTGTATATAATTGATTTTTCATTTTGTATACTTTATATAGCTGGATGTATACTTTTATAGCAGACACAAAATAAAGCCAACTCAAAAAATCATTGTCTCACCTTTATTATTTAAATGCTTTATTGTACTTAATATGCCCTTGATGAAGTTTCTTTAATGAGATGCAGTTGTAAATGGAAATTATTAAGCCATGTCTCTCTCCAATTACTAAGGATCTCCAAAATAAAACTAGTATACTTTCTATTATTTACTCTTTTTGTCCCAAAATAGTGGAAGTGCCTATAGGATAGAGGGTAATTGGGGTTTCAAGTAATAGCATAATGTTTATATTAAATAATACAGGGAAAAGTTTTGCCCTATAATAAACTGTTACTACTTTTAAAAAAAAGTTATCAAATTTTAGACAAATTCTGGTCCCATCAGAAATATGTTCTTTACTGTAAAGAAACTAGATCCTAAATCAGAATCCTATATATAATAGTGTTATAACAGTTATACTTTTAGAAGTGCAGCCTATGTGACTTTTCCATTTGATTGCGTGCATTGGCTAAGCTTTTAGGACCACCCAGTGATAAACATACTTCTTACACTTAATGTTGACAGTTTCCAGAAATGTGTTCAAAAAAGGATTTTTCAGAAAAGAAAATAAACATGCTGGAAGATGGAACTCTGCTCTGGCTGTCAGATCTCTATTATTTAAAATTAGCCATTTAAGACAGACTTAAAATAATACAGTACTTGGGTTGTTGCCTAAGCTAGAAGATTATTTGTTAAGAGTTCTGTGGTAGACACAGGTAAGAGGAATGCAGCACATAGGACAATCAACATAAAAGCAGAAAATCATTTTAAGCATCAAAGTTTACATCTTTGAGTCTATCAAATCTTTGACCATCCAAGTTTGAGAAATGGTGAAACAAACTCTTTGGTTCAAAGTCACATTCATATTTAGTTCTATTAAAAGAAATTACAACAGGCTGAGAATTCAGGTATGTCTCTGCAAGTGGCCAGGGTAAATCAAGATGATGGCGATGGAGCTAAAATAAAAAGAAAGAAGATCAGTTCAGCAATTTTGATAGAGCAACACAACAACTTCCAGCTTGGGGGGTGTGTGGGTATGTGTGGATTCTACGATCCTCTGCATTAGGGCACTTAAAACCATTATTCAGTTTTCTGAATAATATGAGTAACAACGAAACACAGAGGACAAATCAGAACCAAAGTGTCATCTTCAGTTTCAGAAATAACACAAATGTGCTAATTACAAAAAACCACATTCTTATTAATAATACTTGTTCCATAAGTCATCAATACAAGAAATTAATTTTTAAATAAAAGAATTAAGCTTTAAAATTAATGATTCCTATACAGAGAGGCAAGAAAATACTATGTTCTCAACTACTTTGTTAGCATAACGTTGGGAATGAAAATGTTCAATGTCATCACTGCAGTGATTCAGTGGCTTGACTAATTCTACTCTCATCTCATTTGATGGAGAACATTTTTTAATAAAAAACTTGGAAAAAGACACAAAAAAGGAGTACTTTACAATACTTCACATACAAAAAACTTGGAAAAAGACACAAAAAATGAGTACTTTACAATACTTCACATACTGTGAATTATGGCAGTGTTTTTCACAGGTCTATCCATATATTTACCTTGATTAAACACCCATCATGGCAGTGCCACACAATTCCTTCAACTTTACCCTCACTGCAGCTTTCAAACCAAGACCGTATGTCATTTGGCTTTAAAGTAGGTGGATTCTTTATTTCAAATGCTCCATGTGGTACCAGAAGATGTACAGGGTGCTTCTTGCTTCCTAATCCTATGTTTAAAGAAACAAATGTATTCCTGGTAGTTAACACATGATACCTTAAAATTTTTCTCATATTTGTTACTGTTGCTATCTTAAAACTACTCTGTAGCTTTCTATTAGATTTTACAACATCATCCTGCCTTTAACAAAACAGTTAAGTGTATTTTTAAGTATCAAATCCAGCTGTCTATCCTCACGTTTTAATTTATAATTACTTATTAAAATCTCTTCCTCCTTTGAATAAAATAAACATGACACAGAGATTTATACAGTTGTATGTTTTGTCCTTGCGGTCACCTCCTCAGTAACCATAATGCTACCAGCTGAATTCTTCACACTTCAGATCACAGTCAATGGCACAAACATCTTAGTTCCAGAAAATCTGGCACACCTTCTCATGAATATGGATGATTACTTAAGCCAGGCTGTTAGCAACTGCATTTCCTCTTTACTGACTGTTCAACACAAATCTTCATCTAAGAATACAGCTACTAGATTTTTTTTGTTGCAGTTCTTTTTACATACTGGGAAAATGCTTGGACCAGGTATGACTATCCTTGTAAGTTATCCTGACAGCAAAGCTCTGAAATTAGAACTCACTTGTGCTCATACCCAAATGTTTTTTTGTTTACAAGGCTTTTAAAGAAAGAAGCCACAACCAAAATTTAGCTTAAATTACATTTCCTTAAAAAAAAAATTCCTTTTTCATAATTTAAAAACTGCAACTTACGACTAACTCTAGGGGCTCTAAAAATGGTTAAATAAAATTTTCTACTTCGAAGGACTAAACAGCATCAGAAGAGCAAGTAATAAAAGTGAAGAAAAGGCACCAAGAAACAATCTTAAAAACTTATTTTAGTATTTTAATAGTAATATTTAAAACAGCTTTTCCAGTCAAAATATTTTTTGAAAGACTAAAGCAAAGCATTTTTATAGCAACTGAGGTTTAATAGAGATAACTAGGTTCCATGACAACTGAGCTTTCTAAGGTATTTTTGGGTGGCTTTCTTCATCTAGCCCTTTCTCTCTCTTTTAAGAAGGTTGCTACCAGAGAACTTAAAAAAAAAAAATTTACACAAAGAAAATGCATAGTTTTCACTCAGAAATAGCAGTAAATAGAAAAAGTATTTAAGCATAGACCATACTAACTTACCATATGGATTTGCATTAATATTAGTCCCAATAAGCTCCAATGTTTGTTCTAGAAGTTCTGATAATGGCACCGGACTGATTTCCAGAAGCCCTGGGTCAGCATGGCGTTTCAATACGAGTGCTATTTCAGCTTCATAATTTATAACAGATGAGTGCCAGCAATACTGCTTGTTATTTTTATCCACAGGCACCCAACCTATGAGAAAACACTGCATTTTACCAAAGTAAACATCTCAAGTTACTAAGTGTGCACTAGACCTGTACATGCATTAAAAAAAAAAAAAAGTGACAATTATGCCTTCCCAGATAGTGAATGAACGACATTACAATTCTTTTTTCTTTAATACATTAACTACTATTTTTAACTGGAACTAATTCTAATTCACTTCAAAATTCACACACACCCCCCTCACCAATTGCCTTCCCCAGTTTCACCTGTGCTGCATCATAGGTACCTGGCATATGTCCATTTTCATCAGGCAAAGGATTGCCATTAGAGAACTCTAAGTCCTTTGCTGGAATCCAGGTATCTGGAACAGGCTTGAAATCCTCTTCAATATTCCATGCAAATTCTAGACACAGAAATGAGATATTTAGTTTTCAGCAAACTGTCAGTTTGTCTTTGGTTGTTTTTCAATGCAATTATTAAAACATCATTGATCTAAACCCTGTTTTATAGACAGTAGTCTCAGTTACTTCATACAAGCACCAACATCTGTTGCACTCAAGTTGTCTACAATTAAGATAGTTTAAAGAAGCATGTAGCCTTTAAGTAGTTTAAAAGTTCAAAAACTAACTCAGAGTAAAAAAACAGCTACCTATTCCAGTTTAAAGCTCTCTCAAAGTAAAGAGTGACATTAAACAAATTGGAGCAGGATCACTGACATTTCCTGTGTTAGACTAATTTTTCCAACTGGCTAACTTACTTGGCCAAAAAGAAGGAAAGAAATCTTGACAGACCTTTGCAGTCTTTCAATGAATGCAAGAATTGTCTAAACTTTTTTTCGCCTTGCTTGTTGGGTCTTCGGTCCAGCCTGGCCCACAGATAGGGTCGCCCTAGAGTTTCCAGAGAGAGAAAACCAGCAGGTTACTGAGGTAACCACACCCTGCAGAGTACTGAAATCAACTGTCTAACAGGCAAGAATACTCAATTGCCACTAGAGAAATTTTATATCCTAATCTGCTACTTAAAGCCATAAATTACAGTATATGAATCTAAAAATCTATTTTAGATTCTAGATATAGTCTTGCCTACTGTAATACAAAGTTTCTTACAATTTCAGAGAAAGGCAAGAACTCCAGTGATACAGTAAATCACAGTCTTCTCATTTCCACCCCAACTCCATAATTCTATTATTCCTCCCCAAGGAAATTAGACACTATTATACAAGTCCCAGTGTGCAAGGAAGACTTACTACTAGGACATTTTAAAACTGGAATAGTTCCTGGATTGTCATCTTCACTTAAACCATACTTCATGTATTTTAGAGAGTAAAATCTGTAACACCTTCAGAAACACCTCCTAAGTCTATGGTAACTATTACTTTGTGGTCAAGATGCTTCATGACAGTTGAATTCAAAACAGCTGTAAATAAACATCATGCCATGACAGTAGAAACTAAGTAAACTAAGGCTTCTAGTCAGCATGAGGAATCCGCATACGGGTCTTATTACCTTTATATGTAGTTACGTAACAGCAGGTTCCGTCCACCTTTTCAGTAGGAATTGCATTATGTATATCTGCTGCTAATGCCTTTCCAGATATAGTTTCAGTTGCCAAAACTTTAAATGGCTGAAAAGGAGACAAGTGGCTATGTTATTGCCTTGCTCTCATAGGGCTCCTTCCAGTTGACCTCTACTGATATCTAACACTATCGAAATACACCCTTGTTTCTTCAAAACTTGACAGTTTGGAAAATGCTCTAAGACAGGACAACCAAGGCAACCTATTTGTTAGTTCTCTCCCCCTTTCCCATTCTTGATTAGTATTTAAAGATGATTTTGCTTTCCACTTTAAATAGGGCATATAAACTAGAAGGGTTCCAGTCCAATGCTGCAATAGTTTAAGATTGCTTTCCTGTATTAAAATGGCAATAGAAATTCCCCATGACTAGCTCTCCCGAGCTTTCAATTTGGAGATGAGAGTCAATAGCACCACGTTAGTGGAATACACAGAGCAGCGGAACACAAGGTGGCCAAAGAATCCTGATATTAAATACTTAGTATCAGTTCTATCAGTGAAATACTTCTGTGCTTCAAAAGAGCAAAGAAATACATGATCTGTGGATCTGAAACAAATAGCCAACTAATAGAAATTTCTAGTAGGATTTTACAGCTTATCTAACAGTTTCACTACAAGAATGCAAGCAGTTGTGTTTGCATTCAAATCTTTTCCTCTACAATCATCATCCTTCCTTCTTCTCTCCCCAGTTAACTTTATCCTTTAAGCTGGGCACTGTCTCTCTCAGTGGACACAAAGCAAGTCTTTGTCTTGCAGAAGTCTTGACGCAGACTGCAGAATTCATAAAATAAGAAATTTCTACAAGCTTTTGTTACATTACATGTCTCTTTTGTATTTTAGTTATAAATCTGTAACCATTACAGCATATATAAAGATTTTATGAAGATTGCATGATAAAGAAAATTTCAGGGTAGTGACAAAACAGTCCCATTGGTTTTATCAGCACTACCCCTCCCTTTCTTCCCTACCAGTCATAACCACATTTTATCCTTGCCTGAACTTTGTAAAAAAACCAAAACAGCGTGGGCCAGTTCCAGATCTAATACCCTGTTCACTTTTCCTGTATGAAGGAACAACAGTGTAGGGATGTAACGTTACATGACCATTACTGATGGTGCTGGTACCCTGAGTTGAACAATTACATTACTGTTCTTTTGGCAACCATTGCTGCTCTTTGGTCCAGAAGTCAATCGCCAATTGGAGTGAGTCACCCAGCTGGATTCAAGTTCACTACGCAGCTGGTTTTCCAGGAAACACAAGCTGGAGATCTGCAGCTGGTCAGGTGAATGCCATCCCAACCTGTCCACGTCTCGCAGACTCAAATTAATTATTCTGTCATAAGCTTGATATTTCTTCGACCACAACGAAGACAAACAAAAAACAAATAGATAGGCTCCTTTTTTTTTTTTTTTTTCCCTACGAGGCTCACAGGCGGGGACGGCAGGGTGGTTTTACACAAGCTCCCAGTGAGGTCACGTAGGAGCGGCCTTCACTCAGAAAATGCAAACACAACATTAGGGCTAACACCTGGATGTACCTGCCAGGAAATGCGTGGGGCTGAGCTGAAATGGCACCCAAACAGCCCTTCTTTCCTGCATTTCAGGGGCAGAACCGCTACGGTGCATTTCGCTCAGAACCTGCAGCCCAGCCTGTCGCCACTCGGCAGTGGCCGGGCGGCCCTGACTCGGTGGTGCTGTGGCAACCCGCGGCCCAGTGATTTCTTCCGGGCCCAGCCCTGCCTGCCTGCCTCCCGCTCCCCCGCTCCCCTGGCGCCCCGGGCACCTGGCGCTCCCTCTTGGCCGACGGCTCCTTCTTCACCTCGGTGACGAACAGACAGGGCACCTTGCGCTGCACCGCGCTCCGCCGCCTCATGGCCGCGGCCGCTCCCGCCGCGCCCCGCAGCGCGCCTGCGCCGCGCCGGCCGCGCTGCGCCACGGGAAATGGAGTCCGCCCGGCCCCACCCGGCGCGCTGCTCAGCGACCGGGCATCGGCGGAGCGGTGGCTCCTGCCCGGCCCAGGCCGAGGTGCAGCTTCGCTTTGCCCAGCCGCGGCTCCCACGAGAGTGGACTCCTCCCTACATGGGTCCAAGGTCCTGCCAGGAGCCTGCTCCAGCGCGGGCTCTCTGCAGGGTCACAGCCTCCTTAGGGTGCATCCACCTGCTCCGGTGCGGGGCCCTCCACGGGCTGCGGGTGGATCTCCGCTCCACCGTGGACTTCCGTGGGCCGCAGGGGCACAGGTGCCTCCCCATGGTCTGCACCGTGGGCTGCAGGAGAGAATCTGCTCCAGTACCAGGAGTCCCTTCTCCCTCTCTTTCCCTGAGCTTGGTCCTAAGGGTTCTTACATATATTCTCACTCCTCTCTCTGGCTGCTGTTGCCCAGCAGGCTGTGGTATCTTTGTGGTGACAAAGATTTGTTTCCAAGACCATAGTTCCATCAACAAGAAGTTAGGTATTATTTAAGCACCACTAAATGATTTTTTTTTTTCCGTTTTACACCAAGGAAGCACTAGAATGGGAGACTCTTTGAAACAGTTTTTCTATACATTTTTGGAAACAATGGAGATAAAGGAAGATGTTCAGCCTGGACAGATCATGTAGCAGCATCATGCTGATGTCCCAAGCTGGAGGAGCAGTTGGCAACTGTCAAAATGTAACATTCCATCCTGGCTAACAACTGCTTTTAGTTCAGTTCAACAGTTCAACCACATGGAGAAGGTACCACCTGCTTCACTCAGCTATCTTTTGTTTTAGCTACACTGTCCATCTGAGTTTCATTTCATCTGAAGGTCCAGTATTTGAAGGAAAACTACAGCTTTCAGGATAAGATGATGATTTTTCTGACAGCTGATAGCATAGCTTTAATTCAAAGAAATACTTACATTCCAGCTGGTAAAATCTGAGGGTGGGTATGGGCTCCTGGTTATTGCATCCATTTTTAAGGGTCAGTGATTTAGGGGTTAATGCCAGGGAGATGGGCTTTGACTCCAGACCCCAGTGTGTCTCGTGGGATGGCCCACTTGTAGTGACTACAGTCCAAAAGTTTTGGAGATGTTGCTCCTAGACAAAGCTGTTAATATCTGGAACTGGGAGAAACCTGCCTCCCAATATTCCAATATTTTCAAGTTTGGCTTTGTTTTTGTTTAAAAAATGACACAAAAAATCATTCAGGAGTAACTGCCAACCTGGCATTTACAGGTCTCAGCTGAGATGCCATTTCCATCCAGCATATTTACATATCCAGGATAATGTTCATGAGCACTTGCCTCTTTGCAATTATGAGTTTATCATACGCTTGAGAAGGGTACCTCAGCTTATAAGGATAAATGAATTGCACCATCAGAGATGATGCTAAAAACTGTAAACAATAATTTTATGTATTTCTAACAAAAGTGACTTGTCATGAAGGTACTGTCTCTGCAGTTTTATGCAGACATTTTAGCTAGTGCTACATTGATCAACAGAGAAAGATCAGCAGTGTATGTATGAGCAAAGAAACAATAATTAATCAAATCCATGTAGAGAGTTATTGTTCCCATTAGGCTTTTGTTTGTTATCTATAAAAACAGCTGAAGGATGGTGAGCAGTGTGATGGAAACAGTCTCATAATGTCAATTTCCATTTCTTTTCAATTTTTTGTTGAGAATCTTTCTGGGTTTTGTTTCTTACCCCATATTTCCCCATAGACCCATGTCTTTTAATAGTAAGACAGCGCTAGTGTAAGATTTGCACTTGTACAGCACATTTCATTGGAGATTGATCTGATTTTCCCATTGAACAGGAAAGAAAACTCAGCCACATGTCAGTTAAGTGACTAATAGATTTTTTTTCTTCCCAGCATCTCATGAAAAGTCTGCAGTAAACTAAGTAGACTGCCTTACTCCTCTTCTAATCTAGGAAGAGTTTTACATCAGCAGACTCTGTTTATCTAACTCAAGATAACTGTAGACCTATCTGGAACTTAAGATAACTTTCAGGATAATTTGAAATGTTGTAAACTACCAGAACATGGTCCCACAAAATCTTGGTCATATGTTTACAGCAGTGTGAACTGTCATATGTTCAGTCCAGTGTTCACATTGTGCTAATCCATTTAGTCTATTTTTTGATTGTTATACTTGCAAAAACTGAAAACTCTTTTCTCCGGCAGCAAAACTACAGCAAGTTCTCCTGTTTCTGGGAGACAGAGCCCGTAGGCTGTAGGAGGATAAGCTGTGACTTCTTTCACAGAAAACCCCGTAATATAAATGGACTTTATTTGCCACCAAGTAACAGTGAGTAAAAATATTTTCTCAGCAATTTGTTCATTAGAGTAAGGAAATAGACAAAAATGTGCTCCCAACATTTACTTTCAGTGCTTATGTAATAAATTATAAGGTCAAGAAATTGACCATGGTGAACCAATGAGGTATGATCTGCTATCCCTGCAAGCTCAAGGCAAAGAAGGATTGCCACATGAATTATTTTACCTGTCATGTTATGAATCTTCATAGTGACATGAAAGATGAAGTCACAAATGGCAATTTAGGTGCTGAGACCCTTGGAGTAAAAATGTTACTTAACTTCTATTTTTGGTAGATCTTTCTCATGGTTAAAATGGTCAGTATGCAGGTAATCATTTAAGAGAAATTAAAAGTAGCATGCGTGGTGGGGGAGGAGGTTCGTAGGGACACTAGTAGCAATAATTGTTGATAGAGCACAGCGTGTTGTATGGATGAGACAACCCTTGAAGAGATAACATCAGATTGCAGTGCTGTGTGTGCAGATATATTTCCAGTTCATTGTTTTGAATAAAATGTTCAGGTTTGAATATTGATTGCATGTTGCTGAAGTACAGTAACGGTGTGTAAAGCAGAACACTTCTTTGTGGAAATCCCCACCATTACAAGTTGGGTTTTTTCCCTCAGCCCTTTCTAAGAGGAGCTCTTGACTATCAGGAGCCCTGGTAGACAGCTGGAACCCAGGGCAGTGTAAGAGTCCAGAGCAAAGAACCAAGACAGATGTCAGAAGCAGGAGTGAGGGGAGCAAGTCAACATGAAACCTTGTGTTCCTGAAATTCCCTCAGAAAAACATAGCGTGTCATATCTGGGCATGTGCAGCTTAACTAACCGCGCAGGGTCAAAACAAGAACTTGGGTGCTGTTTCTCTGAGTGCCCAGGTTGCTTTTAGCGCAGTTTCCACTTACATAGCGTAGCCCCGCTTCTAGGTGTGGTGAGAGTTCACAGACTATGCCCAAGAGGCACTATGGGCAACATCCAGCAACCAGGACTAGAAAACAGACACAATTCTTTGACTTTTTATTGCATTATGGACAAATTCAAAGTCTGTTTGCTCCACATTGCAAATACTAAACCTGCATTTATTTCTGCTAATACTTAGAAATGTTGTTAAATTAATTTAAGTTTGTTTTACTTTTACTACTTGGAGCTAATAATATCCTGTTCTGGACAGTGAAAAAGGCTCTATGAAGTCATTGTTTTATCTTTCATATCTCTTACGTGAGATGCAACAAATCTGATCTGCAATAGTGTTATTAAAATGGATTTAATATGATACACATGCTGCTCATAGGCAAGCAAGAGATGCACAAGAATAACAACAACTGGAATAATAGAAAAATACCCACACTTTCTTTTAAACTGGAAAATATATCCAACTTCAATATTTTAATATAATGCACAGAATCCTGATTGTATCTATAGTTGCAAATAGGTCAGCTCAGACAGTACAGAGAGACTCAGCATTTTGCATTATTTATCTTTTCAGTCCATTGCATTTCCTGGCTGTTGGAATATGTTATCCCAGTACCGAACCCATTTTGCTGCAAACGTTATATATAAATTCCTAAGGAAAATAATATATTTTCTGATTTTCTTCTAAATAAGTGTAAATTATTTTTGTGAAATTCATATTTCTTGTAAAAATCTACATTTTGTACCTAGTAAAGAGAATTGATAGGAAAAAAAATGTCTGCAAGTTTAAAATGGGCAATTCTGTGCTTAGCATTGCTAAATTCTTCAAAACAGATACCGTGGAGCTGATACAACTTGCCTGTTATTCAGCATGTTTAAAACATTTTCATAGGTGGGATCCTAAACTCACTCACTCACTCACTTCAGTCCAGGAATGATTAAACACGCATTTCTCTATCTTGTAAATGTCTTAAAAGGTGTCGGAAGAAAGAAGGTTGCTGACTCAAATTAATCTATCTACCAGCTGGAAGAGATAAACAGCCTTTTTAAAATAGCTTAGTGATAAAAACGTTCCTTCAAAAGTCTATTCAGCAGAGCCTCATCTGTCCATTCAGAGGAGCTAGTACCTGTGGTTTTCCTACTTTCTGGAGTTGGAAGGTGTTCTCTTGCCAACCGCTGCACAAGATAATGCCTAGTCCTAATAAGGATGTCAAGAGTACACCTGCTAGTGTGAATGTGATATTGTAGTTCACTCCTAACAAAGTACATCTAATGTTCTTGTTTGCAGATGTCCCATTAAAACAGGATATCCAAGGAGGGATTCTGTATCCAGCCCTTCGTCAAGACTCACTCAGAAATCAAGAGAATATTTTATTACCAATTCATCCTCCACTGATTATAAACCTCGGTGATGAAGAGGATGAGGAAGAGGACGATGGAGATGAAGAGAACTGTATACAGTCTTTTTTCTTTCTTTTATAAGGAAGTTAAACGGCTTTTGTCAACTCTTACAATGCACTTCACAACCGATTTATTATAATAATCACTACATTTTTATAAAGAAGTTTTTGACAAATTTTTCAAATAGTTTTCAGCTAATCCTTAAAATGTTGAAACTGGTTATTGCCAGATGTGTTCAAGGCATTTTTTTGTAACTCCCTTGTATTTTTTAGTATATATTTCAATAGTGGTGTAATTCACATACCTTTTTTTTATTAAATAAAGTTTAAAATGCAATCCACAATTCAGATGGCCATCAAAAACTCTTCAGAATTTTGAGATGAAATTACAAGCTTAGAAGTTACTTCTTTTCTGGGAAACAAATTTTTGAACAAGGGCTGTACACACTCATCACTGAAGGTGAAGGTTTTTTATAAAAGATAGTTGTGTGAGTTCAACATAATTTCATCAACTGATTTACTAAACTCTGCAAGCAGTCTAATTTTTTTAGAGGAAGTTATTCTTATGTCTAGTGAAGAGAATCCATGTAAAAATCTTCACTAGTTTGACTGAATGTTTATGTGAATATATATGTATGTTCATATAGTTGAACGTTTGACTGTATCTCAGAGACAAGAGATTCATAGGCAAGGAACAAATTGCACTTTCCTGGAGAGTGAAAAGTAAGAGAATGACCTATTCTCAGGTGTGCACTCAGCAAATTGCTGTACTGCCCCCAGCCAATTTTCACTTTCTCCCTGCTCATCGGGTAGGGCAGCCTGTTAGAGCTTCCTAACATGTTTTCAGTCTGAATATGCCCCATTAACTCAAACAATATAGAAGGCAGGGCTTTGCTAATCTTCAGAGCCGTAACTGAGAGAGGTAAGGAGCACTCACTTCACCAGCTCTGCTAGCAGACATTATAGAATAGTAACTTTTGGCAGAGGTTTTGTGACAAGCACTCTCTGGTGACATTTTGAATCAGATTTCCTTTTGGGGTTTTGGGTGTAAATGAAGGATTATTTTGAAAATGAATACTGGAGATGCTCTTGAATTGTTTCAAATGAACAAACATTTGCTTCTTAATATATGCTTTAACTGCAGTTCCACTGTACATGAAAACACTTAATGTTGAGGAGCCGTTTTTTTCATCTGGAAGCAGAGGTTGCAAACAGAAACAAAAATAACTGATGACAGAAATGAAAGTAATTATGGTATTTGATTATTAAGAAATATTGAAGATATTTGTATAGTTATCTTGTAATCTTTTGCAAATATTTCCTACAGATGTTTCTAACTTGAGGCCCAAGACCGCTGCAGATATTGAAGAGGAAAGAGCAATAAGGGATATATGCTATAAATCTGGTAAATATGAAATTAGTCACTCTTTTCTAAACAGCAATGCTGCCAATACAGTAAATACAGGGCCTTTTTCCCCCCCTCTTGGGGCATGTTTAGGAGAGTATTATGGGATTCAGAACCCTCATAAACACCAACCAACCAAAGCTGTGTCTTCACCTTGGCAAGATGAGCTACTACCCTTGGAAGCCGCTGAACAAAACTTGCAGAAAGGCAAGTACTTTGAATTTCCTTGAACTGTGTTTACCACTTTTAAAATGGCTGTAACAGGGCAAACCTAATACATAGTTTGCACCTCTTTTCCACTTTTTAAATTTAGTGAAAATAAAATATTACAAAGAACATGTTTGTATTTGTAATCATATTGCCAAACCACTTCACTAATTTTTACCATATAGATATATAGATATGGATTAGATATATAGATAAATATGTAGTTGCACTTATGTGACTCTGTGCATCAATTGTAAAAGGAAAAGGTAGAAATGGGCTATTAAGCCAATGTGTCCTTTCCTTGCATGCACAACATAGGTCTTTCGTATAATTTTTCTTCACAATCAAGATTTATGTAGTCTAATTTTAACCATCCTAATGTTAGGAATGTAGTTTTAATTTCTCGTCAAGGCTCTCTGTTGTAAGTTGAGAGAGACAGGAACTCTTATGGGGCTATTATGGGGCACATCATCAAATTTGCCAAAGGAAGGTGAGATGAATCACTTTGCCAGAGGTGCTCTGCACTCTCTGCTGACTGCCTTGGGTGTCTAGATGGCAAAATGTAGTGATAGTGCAAACTTTTCTATAACTAAATTTAGATTAAGTAAATACCCCCTTTTATAAGAGAGGAACAGAGGAGTTCCATTTTATTTCAAATGCTGGGCTTTATCCAACATAGTTAAGATCAAATAAATACAAATTCATAAATATTTACCACAGTTACTATGTTACTTCATTCATTATTCTCTTCTGTTTTCTAAGTTTAAAATGTTTGTTATTAAAGTAGTTTTGATAAGCTATTTCTAACAAGTATATAGATACATTTAGTCTACAGATAAGGGAATCAATAACAAATACATAAACATAGCTTTTAAGAAGTGTGTTTATTTATCATTAGACACATTTGGAGAAAAGGATAGACATGTTTCCCCAAAGCAGTTTTTCATTTGAGTTTTCTGAGGCTTTAGCTGCTCTGATTACATGCATCTTGAAAATGCCATAAATTCATTCAGTAAGGATTCAAAAATATGATTCATGGAAAGTGAGAAACTCATGAATAAGCAGGTAGTTTATAGCTAGGTCTTTACTTTGATGCTATAGTCTTCTTTAGCCTATGAATTATGATATTATCTTAGAGAACATGAAAGTTATGCATCACTTACACTAGACAGGATCCAAACAAACAATAAAAGAGAAAGAGGGTTATGAAATGAGAGGTTAAGAGAAATTGCACTAATCACTGGCTCATAGAGGTGGGAGGAGGAGAGTATCAGTACCATTCCCTGGGCTTACCCACAGCTAAACATTCTTTCTGTTGCCTTTCCAGGTGATGGTAACACAATTCCTACAAAATGTAATAATGCAAGAAAAGAGAAAGAGAGTTCAGAAAGGAGAGTACCAATAGAGAGTACTCCCAGAAAGGATCATAGATCCTTTGACAATGGAGGTAATATACTGTAGCATCAGCTTGTCATTGCTGAACATCATGTGGTAAATAAAATAACCAAAGATGCATGCATTAAACTTCACCACTTTACATTTGAGTTATTCTTTGTTCCTTATGTTCTAGACACTCTTTCTCTTGCTGCACCATAAATTATAACAATCAAAACCACTGTTTATGATCATGTATTATGCTTATTTTAGGATTATACTGAAAAAAAATCCTTTAAGCTGATTACAATTGATTTTTTTTATACTTAATTTTGGGAAAGAAAGGATTCTATGGAGTTACAATAAAGCAAGTGTAGAGATGCACACAAGTTAAAATGTTTTCAAAAACTGTTACATTTGTGAGACTAGCCCTAGCTATATGTTTTTCAGTTTTCCTACACAGAAATAACAAAGCTGCAATACTGTATCTTGTGTAACAGGATCCGATCCCTCTGCATAGACTTGGTTGATGTTGATGAAGACACAGTGTTTTGACCCACTGAGTTCACTATTGAATCATGTCAATAAAGCTGAAGAATTCTCCATTGTCCTTGAATTTTCTTAGTCCTTAGTGGTATTCAATCCTCTTTCTTCATAAATATTTATTAGTGGGAAAAATAGTAGTAATTGTTGTAGTATTCTTTTTTTCCCCTTATATTGTCGATGCACTACCAGGGCTACTCGCTCTAGCTTGGAGCAAGCTGGTATGGGTCTTGTAGCTCCAGAATTTTATTGCACAGTAAACATGTGACCTTTATATACAAATGTGTCTTTTAAACATTCTTTATGTCGATATAAACAGGTACCAGTGGGAAACAATTCAATAAGTGAATCTCTGTTCACACCTATACGTGTTTAAAGCTTTTTTTTCTGGTGTAACTTTGTGGGCCTTATTGAATCAGCTATTTGGTTGGTTGAACTTTTTTAATTGATTTCAGCTAAAAATATGCCATATAATAAGCAGATTCTGCACTGTTCACCTTTCTCAGGGTGCTCCTGAGTGTAGATAACTTTTTGAGACTCCTTTCCTCCAGGAGGTGGTGGTCCTGGGACACAGAGGAACACATTTGTTGATGGGAACAGATTTGAGACACTACCTTGGGAAAAAGAACGAATTGCATCCAAGTATTCCAATGTGAAAGGTACTTCATTATTATATATTTTCAGATTTTTATATTAGATCATTTTTGTTCCTCTGCAAGTATGGTGGGCAGTATATATTTTGTGTGAAACCAATCTGAAGTGAAATTTTCCATTAACAGTGTGATTTGTTTCACTTCAAGATTACAACAGTCATTGTATGCTATGGTTCAGTTCTGCTTCTTTTAGCTAGTTTGCATCCTCTGTTAGGTTCAATGTGGGCAGGATTAGTCCCTGAGTTACTAAAATCTTTGATGCTCACATGATGCACTTTCCACTTCTGTCAAGTAAAACAGATTTCAGTGTAGGTGGCATCTCACAGAACTTGGGACTTAATAGAACCAGTAAAAATATAGTTGCACGTGTGATAAAGTATGCTTATTAAAAACTAGTCACAAACAGCAAATTAAAATACAAACACCAAAGTACCTTAATCATAAGCTTCATTCTTTTCCCAAAGAATTTCAGAATTCATTTGTCAATTTAGAATATGTATCAATCTGATTATTGTAGGTAGATCATTACCTGGTTATTTATTGGTAGTTTTAGAATAAAAAGAAAAAAAAAAAAGACAATTTTTTTTCTTTAATCTACCCCATAAACTAAAGAAAAAGTAGAGAATTTCTGCCACATTCTGGCCTGAGATAAGAGAAACTGAAAGTGTTTACTTACATTAGTGGGAGAAAAGGAAGAACAAAGCCACGTCTTCCTGAAGAGTAGAAGGGACTAGGAGAAGAGCACTGTGGTTAATTTATGCTGAAACTTTCCTTGTGAAGTTCTGTTTGTACTTTGACAAATGCTATTGCTATTTTATTCTCCTCATTATGTATTTTGTTATGTTTATGTACTGCCCATGTTCAGGATGTACCTAGATGCTACAGGCAGAAATCATTCATAGTTCAGCCAGGAGTCCTTTGGTGTGCATGGGGTGGTCTCCATGGGCTCAACTATGGGTATTCCAGAGGTCCCCACATCACCTATGTAGTGTAGAGAAAAGATGATCTGGTCTTTGGCTGTAGAGTTAATTTTTGAGTTGGCTTTCAAGATTTCATCTGCTAGAGAAAATAGAGCCACTTTTACTTTCTTTTTGGTGAATGATACTTACAGAATAATTAACATGTGAAACCATGTTCCACCCAAAACGACCCATGTATGAAGTGGGAGATTATGTTTTCAAAACACCACAACAGTTTTGGATAACAACATTTTGTCCACTTTCTAAAAAAGTAAATATGTGTTATTTTAATTTGTCAGAGACAAACCACACTGAGCTGGTAGAGAACCATCGCTGTAAGGAAGTAAAAGAAAATAAATGCATTTCTGAGGAGCCAAGAAATTCAGCTAATACAGTAACTGGCAAAGGTATTTGCAGAAAACTGCTGGTTTATTCATATCTATTTACTAAACTGTGAGATGATTTAGCACTACCTAGTTAGTTTCTGTTCTTAGTGTCAGATGTGGACAGTCCATATTTGGATTGGACTATCTACAAAGAACATTTTTTTAATCTTGTTGTCTAGCCTCTAGTTTCCTGCAATATGTCAAATTTTGAGTAATAGCACACTTTTTGTTTGCATTTTCACTTTTAGGAATTCAGACTTTGGACCCTAAAGTAAAACCAAGGTACCAAAAAAGAGGTCAAAGTAAGAATGATGAAACTGCTCCTTCTAGTCCTTACGGGAAAGAAACTGGAAGATACACTAATTTAAATTCTCCAGAACCTCGACGATCAGCATATGTAGTCTATCGTACAGTCACTCAAAAACCAAAGTTCAATGGATCTACAGGTGGGCTCCTGCTTACACAGAATTCTTAAAATGCCTGTCTGTATTGTGCTGCATTCAATTGTGTCCCTGCAGGTAAATATGTTATTTATGCCTAAATACAGGTATGAGTAAATTTGATTAAGCATAATTTTGACAAATAGGTTTCAACCATATTCATAGACAGAAATGTAAAGATTTATAAAGCTTTACAATTTGTCAGAAAGAAAATCCACAAACAATAACTGAGCCACCTTCACAGCAGGTATTCATGAATGCAGTGATGTATTGATGTGCCCAAATATACAGTTCCCCACTTTTACAGCATCTTTTATGTGATTTATTCTTTTCAAATATTTAGTAAACTTTATTAAGGTTAAAAAACCTCCACTTTAAACTTCTTATTTTATTTCAACTACTGATAATAGAAGAAGTAATTTTGCAGTAGAATTTATGTTTTGCCTCAAGAGATGTTTCTTATTCAACTTTTATTGTCCCAGTAAGGTATGAAAAAAATGAGCTTGCTTTGCATAGTATAATTCCACAACTAGGATTCCACCAGAGTTTTGATTGCTATGGATTTCTATTTATTGTCATTATTTAGGGTGATTTTTCGTCTTGAATAAACAAGGGTTTGGGTCTTATTCAAACTTCTCTTACCTATTTAAATAGAGTGGAAATTTTCTTGATTTATATTAATATTATTTTTCACATTAATTATGTTGGACAGAGGACTGAATCCCTTCCTCCTGCCATTCATGCAGAATGATAATTTCCTTCATCTTTTTTTCCATCTTTGAAGTACTCTACCCTCCTCTTGATGATATATGCTATGTCATTGATTTGACAAGAAACCTACAGGTGGGATTCTGAGTCTTGCATCTTTCTGTCTGGCAGTCTGTTTTGAATGTAACCCTGATTTTACAACTTTATTTTTTATCTTTCTAATAGATGCTTTGTACATCTTTTGGGCTTTATTTGCCTTTCTACCTTCTGTGTCCATGGTTTTCCTGGATAATTGTATTTTTTCATCTGTTATTTTGTCAACAAATTCAGTGGTAAATAATTTTAATAATTATAAGTTAAGAAAGTGATTTTGTCTTGCCAGTTTCAGCCATCTTTTAAGCTGTACTGAATCTCCATCTTGAGGTGCCTTCCTGTCTTAATTTCTAATAACAGGAACTTCCTTCAGAGTAATGCCTACTTTAAGTAGAATAAAGATGAATTCCAACATCACTGCTTAGTCTTGAGGACAAATATCTGTGTCTTTTTTGGTTTTTTTCTGAATGTTTGCTTTCATTAAATGTGAACAGGTTGGTATAGAGATAGAGAGAGAACATTCTTAATGTGAAGAGTGCATTTTATCAAATTTCCATGTTAAAAAAGGATAGAGCATTTCAGAAGAAATGGTAATCAACTTTTTTCTCATAAGAGCAATTATTAACATTTTTACTGCCTTTCTTTCCAGCAGTACCTGAATCATATGGTCAAAAATGCTCAAAACAAAAGAATCAGCCTGACACCAATAGGAGATTTTGGACACAAACAGAAAACTATGGTAATTCTTACATGTTGTGTATAAACTGAAAATTTTAGGATCATTATTAAATTAATAATTTGATTTATTGAATGAAGATGGAACTAACTTCTGTTATTGTTAAATTAATATTAATAATATTAATTTTTAATCAAATTTTCAAGAAAATTGTTTGTGACTAGGCACCAGACTCTGAGGCACAATCTATGGTGTAGAACAAAAACATAATATAACCTTGTGCTATATTATGCTAAAATATATGTGCTAAAACATCAGTAGATTATAGTGCTTTCATAAACAGGAGGTTGGATTGTGGATTAGTTTAATCTAGAAACAATTGATGCCTTTGAGAATATCTTCAGCACACGAACATTCCCGTTGTTAAAACCAGCAATGTCCATGGCAGAATCAACTCATTTGGAAGATCCTGTGAGCATCATGGAAATGCTGCAATATCACAAATGATCTTTAAAGTATTAGAGAGAGAGTCTGTCTTAATACTAGCTTGTGTTTCAGAGGTGATTTATGATACACCTGATGTATTCATTGATATTTTAGCTAATGTAATATTTAATTCACATACATGAGTCTTTCCTGAAATTGTGTCTGAAATTAAGAAACAACATGTATGTTTTTCCCTACAGGCAAATATACTTCAGGATCTTCTAATTCACCAGCTTGGAGAAAAAGAAATCCACAAGCAAAACCAATCTCTAAGTTTAAAACTACCTCTCAGGTAACTGATAGAAATGGTTACAATTCAGTATTTTTAGGAGAAGTGGCATGTCTCTCCCCACCTAGAAAATATTAAAGTGCTTGTAAGACTTGCCCAGTCAAAACTTGCAAGATTCTAATCAATGTTAAGCAGACTGAAAGAGTAGTTTTGTTTGTTTGCAGACATGTACTTTTGCCTCTATAACTACTCTGTGATTTCTAAATTTTTTCACAATAATACTGGTATGAAATCAAAATGTGTACCTGCCTTTATAGTGGAGCACTTCAAAAGGCAGGTTTTGGATCCTAGCACTGGACAAACACAGTAGAAGACTATATGAGTGTGGCCTTTTTGTTTCTCTGCTGGATTGTTTATGAAACATGAGCAAAGGCTGAATGATGATTACCTGACATCCAAATTAATGAAAACACTAAGGCTACAAAACATTCGCAAGACACTCTAAGGAACATTAATGCATTTTACAGCTGTCTTGAACGCAGAGATTAGAACCTCTATCTCATTTTTACTTCTTAAAATGTTTCTGAAAGAGCATGTTGTTTTACTCTACTAAATTATGCACAAAATGTTCTGCATATCTATTTTGACAGCAGAGCCAAGAAGATGTGGAAGGGAATAGAAAAGGAGAAAAAGAAAAATCTAAAGGGAAATAAGGAGATTATCAGCTGGAATACACAAAGATGATGAACCTGCAAAGTCCAAGAAGAAGGTGTAGGAAGTACACTGTAATGTTTCTAAGATGGCAAAAAAATTGAAAAAGTATGCTCTGCACAGTCACGTATAAAGATGTTTAATACATTCACTAAGTTTAATCCATTGTGAAAATTTGGCAGTTGAAGTTATTTTTAGAGATTATGGCTGTACACCAGGAGACTGACAGTAATAGATGTCCATAGATAGGAAAAATATCCCTAGGCAGATTCTTTCCCTTTTTTACTCAACAGATGTTTAGAGGCAAAATTCCTAATATGAATAAATACTGTTAGTTTTACTTAGCAGTTTCAGAGGACTTTTGATGTGAACAACAATAGAATGTAGCTGTTCTGGTGCAAAAGCCATATTCTTAGATGGCTTAGCTGTTTGCCAGATGTCTGGAGGCTCAGTCTGAATTTGATCTTGAAATGTTGCTATTTTAGCAGAGCAACAGAACTGTGTTACAAACTTAATGAACTTCACAACAAAAGTCTCAGAATTGAATGAAATATGTATTTGCACACATTTTAAACTAAAATATGAAGAGTTGGGTAATGACTGAGAGGAAGACTAATAAGAAGTATACTTTGTTATTGCTTCCTGTAGAAACAAACCTCATACTGAGGTGTTACATATATGTGACTTCATATCTTTCTCTCAGATGTTTTTCTTTTTTTTTTTTTTTTTTGTATTTGCCTCACCTTTGGTCATTCTTAGAACATAATCAGTTTTGGAGAAGAACCCTTCAAACTTCTTTCTGTAACACTGATAATTACTGTCCAGTAATTATCTTGGTGGCACCTGTAACTAAGTACCAAAGCACAACCTTGGAGTCTTTTCTTCATTGTGACTTCTCAGAGCATGAGGATGGATCAGATACCTTCCAGGGTACTTCTAGATGAAATTATTCTATCATTCTATGATAAATATAGTCATGAGTCTGTCCTTCTTCACTAAAAATATCTCAATAATGGAATAATTTTTATTCTATTTTGAAATTTACATTTCAGTAATTTAACTTAAGAAACGCTGTAGTGATTATAAACATCTATGCAGTTAGGCATCACTTTTCTTAACTGAGAGAAGAATAGAAAACCCTAGAGTATCTAGTTTAAATAAGTACAAGTGTACAAAACAAACAAGATGCCCGTTTTTAAATCAAAGACTAAGTGTGTTGAAAACAGCACTGCTGTGCTGTCTTGTGCTGCATGTGCAGCCTGTTGGCTTGTGCCACGTAGATGCCTTACCACAGAAGAAAATCAACCAGCTCCTTGGAATAGGGGAACCTGCAGGCAGCTCCTGCTTGGTACAGGTGATTACACCCCTTGCCTGGCCTCACCTTTGTTTAGCAGTGCAGCAAGAAGTTCTCAGGTGAACATCCTTTCTCTTTGCCAATAGGAATGAGGAATATAGTTGGCTTCTTTGGGAAAATCCTGTAAGAGTTCCAGTGACCAGAATGGGGTAACTTTTCCATGGACGGGATCTGCTGGTTATGCTGGGCTATATTGGAGGTCCATTCAATGCTGCACAGCTTGGGGGTCCCAGCATCTGAAGGGTCATATGATTATCTATACTTTCTTCCTTTTCTTTTAAGTGTTGTCTCAAAAAAAACAGGATCTTAAGAGATGCTTCATAGAATCTGAGCACCTTACTAACTGGGATCATAAACAAAGCACCTCCTAGTTCAACTTTATCCACCTCCCTGCCCTGAAAAGCCAATCCAACAAGCCAAAGCCAAAAGAAAATAATTTTCTGGCATCTTAATGTGCCAGCATCCCAGCAAGTGATTGGGCTAAGCGTCAGGCCCAGCTCAAGGGAAAGACAAAGAAATGCAGGAGGAGAAGAAGGATGTGGCCATGAGGGCAATTCTTAGCTGATCTGGGTTGTGGAACCACAGCCTCAGTACATTACCTCTTTCCCTTTTCACTGGAGCTTCCTGTAGAGAAATTCCTGTAGAGAAATTGCAAACATTGTTCTCTTAATCATCACTTGCTCACAGGAAGTCACAGATACTAAGAAATATGTCACCATTGTACACTAAATATATGGCTCAACAAGATATTAACAGTTCCTGTGAGGTGTTAACTGCTCTTGATGGAAATCAGAGGAGCAGAAAGAGATCAAGTGCTTTGAGGGATCAAAATCTTATTTAAGATTTCCCTTTCACAGCTTCAAGGACACTAAGATCCTTTAAAATAATAAAAATGTATGTGTGTTTTTCAGATCACAGGCATTTTCCCTATTATATTTTTTAATAATCTTCTTTGTCATTAGGGCCTCAGAGAGGAACCAAAGGAAATTGAGGATATTCAGCATTTCATGCAGTGAGTCCCTAAAGATTGCATTTCTATATTTTCTCAAAATCACTGTATGAGAGATCCCCCACACTTATTTAAGTGTACAGTACTTGAAAATAAGTCCTGAGATAATGAGGCAAAGATCAGAGGCAGAGGGCTACTGAGGTAGAGTTGAATTTGGCCCAGTATTAAGTATGCATGGACATAATCTGGTGCTGAATTGAAAGGCCCAGAGGAAAGAAGTGATTTGTTGCTTTCACCCTATACATGTTAAAATATGTACCAAATGGTACTTCTGAAAACACGTCAGACTTCTAGTCTAGGTGAATCATATTACTTAGTAAATAGAATAAGTGGTACTACCTGTATTTTATCAAAAGTTTGTAAAGTTTTCAGTCTGAGGTCCTGCACTCCTGAACAAACTTACATGGATAATTAAAACCATTAACTGCCAGCATCTTAGCAGCACTAATAATTTAAGTAGACTGTTTATTAATAACTCGAAGTCCATCTCAAGTTAACGCTGGAATGAAAAAAACATTGGTGGTTACAAAATAAAATCCTAATTAATGTTCCTGGGAATAGTAGGCATCGTTTTAAAAAAGAATGATTTTCAAAGATTGATATCCTTGTTGATGTTCATGTATGACCATAGAATCATAGAATTATCAAGATTGGAAAAGACCTCCAAGATTATCAAGACCGAGGCTTATTAATGAATTTCCCCTGTAAGGATAAAATGTGCTTCTTACATCTTCACAACTCTTTCTGCCCTGAGAAGGATCTTCAAGGCAGATTTTGAAGATTATAACGCATCACAGGAGTATGTAACAAGCACAACATACTGTAACATGACCCATAGTAATCTTATTGACTTCAACACTATTACTGATATTCTAAAATTCAAGCGTATCTTAATTGATCACAGCAGAGTGGCTTCCAAAGTTTTCATTGCAGTATGCACTGCAGCCTGCCAAATTCGTATTGCTCTTGGAGATGAATGAGGGATGTAAAATGTAGCAAGACTTTTAACTTTGGAAGCAGAATTTGCGAACTGGGGAAATATAGTAGAGAATTGTATGGGGAACAATTAATCATGGAAATGAGACAATAAGTTGCAAGTAATAAAAATTAAATAAAAAAAATAAAATTTGCGATAAAACATGCCTTGTACCAGCTCTTTCAGTTGGGCAATGCCAATCAAAACCTTTGTTCTCTTGGTGTCTAAGTATGGTGAAGAGTACTCCTTAGTCGGAGTGCTGGTGAAGGGAAGACTTGGAACTTGGAACACTCCAAGAACTCTTGGATAGCTTGTGCTCATAACAGACCATTAGCATTTAGAAATTAAATATCTGTTTTGAGGGAATTTTAGGTTTATTCCATCATGTTTATATTCTGTAGGTCTTTCTCACTGGCCAAAGCACACATCAGCAATAATAGTGTCATTACAGTTTGGACAAATGGATTTCTGAACTAAACACTGATACTGCCAGCTCTCAAGAGAAGTCTTAAGTCTGTTAAAGAAGTAAAGCTGAATAGTGTGTGGCCATATTTTTGTGTCCAGTATAAGGAATTGAAAAATATGATAAACTGGGTCTTTGGAAGAGGGAATAGTTCAACATTTTGTGAAGTGACAATGATGTATTTCATAGTCAAAATGCCACATGATGGTAGTGCTGAGATTCCTGGTACTCTAACAGTAAAATTTCCTTCAGGTAAAGCAGCTGCAATGTTTCAATTCTGGAACCTGGCAGATGTTTAGCATTTCTTAACTTGAGGCCACAAGATACCTGCTGTTTGATTTAAGGTGTTAGAAAAACTACCAGCATGGCTTGAACTGAAGTTGCTGTAGAATAAATAGCCACAACAGCTGAACTCTTTTGATTTACTATTGTTTTATTTACTCAGAGTGCACTGCACTATTTTAAAGTGACAGACCTCAGAGATTCACAGCAGACTCTCCTTCCTTTATTCCAGCATGACTTATCCAACATTTTGTTTGCTGGAAAAAGCTGTTTTAAGAACCATTATTTTAAAATCCCTATGATGGTACACACTATTGTTATTTAAAAAACAAGTAATAGCAGTGCATAAGATTTATTCTAATTGGCTAGCAACCACTTTTTTTGCCTTACACAATGGAAATAGGTTTTCATTTACCAGGTCAAATAATTCTTTTCTCAAGAATTTGAGATGTGCCTCTCAAAAAAGCCAGTCTTGAGAAAACTCCCTATTTCCCATATAAACTCCAGGCAAGCAGTGGCAAAGAGCTGATGTCCTGAAAAGAACACTTTCTTATTTTATAGATCTATGTATATAGATAGATACAGATATATCTGTATTTTTTTTTTGAAGTGTACACAGGAGTTAGCAGGGCTTGTAGAGCTTTAAACTACTTTGGAAGGGGAAAAGGGACAAAACCAGGCTCACCAGTGATGAGTGATGGGGTGTTGTGCCAAAACTTGAGAAAACAAGCACTAATGGGATCCCTCATTCTGCTTCACCAGGTGTTGGCTACGAAATACCACACCTGAATTGTTTCTACAGTAATTCAGGCAGCACAAGGAGCAAACAAGAGGGGATCAAAGTTTTGGCCCAGTCCCAGAGATTTCACATCATTGGTACAAGTGAAACCTGGGGGGATGAGACCTGGAGTGCCCTGCTGGATGGTTACAGGCTCTTTAGGAGGAATGGGCAGGGCAGAAGAGGCAGAGGGGTGGCACTGTGTGTAATAGAAGGATTAGAACATATGGAGCTCACAGTCACCAATGGCACAGTTGAGAGCTTTGGGTAAGAATCAAGGGGCAAACAAATAATGGAGATGTCATTGTGGGAGTGTGCTATAGACCTCCTGGCCAGGACAATGACACTGATGAATAATCCTTAGAGGAACTAAGGGGCGCTTTCAAGGCAACTGCCCTTGTCCTTGTGAGGGACTTCAACTTGCCATAAATTAACTGGGAACATCACACAGCTATACCGCCTAGGCAAGAAGATACCTTAAAAACCCAGAT